GCTGGTGGTTCTGCCATTTGGTGCTGGATTTTTATTTATTTACTTACTTATTTATTTATTTATTTATTTATTTTTTGGACTTTTATTATATAGCATATAAAAGCCTTAGTCAGTGGTCGGCAAACCACGGCTCGTGAGCCACATGCGGCTCTTTGGCCCCTTAAGTGTTCTAACCCCACTTCTTCAGAATAGACTTGCCCAGGCTGAAAACCAACTTCTGTGCATGGGCCACAAAGTTTTAATTGCACTGTACGTGCGCACCCGCACGTAGTATTTTGTGGAAGAGCCACACTCAAGGGTCCAAAGCGCCGCATGTGGCTTGCGAGCCACAGTTTGCCGACCATCGGCCTAAGTGACCGTGCAACCATCCGACTGGTAGCTATGACACGCAATGACCACCAGGGGACTCTGACCAGTAGCCATGACACATACTGATCACCAGGGGGCAGATGCTCAAAACAAGAGCTGCTGAGCTGCCATGACTTGGCAGTTGCAGTTCCCGGGTGATGCACCCAGAACCAGAGAGAAGGGAACCCATTTCCAGGGTGTGTCCCCTGAGAGCCACTCTCTTGTAATCTGGGACCTGTTGGGGGATGTCAGCTGGTTTCGGCCTGATCCTCACAGGCCAGGCTGAGGGACCCACCGGTGCCCAAATCCATGCACTGGGCCTCTAGCTTTATTATATTTACTAGAGGCCCAGTGCCTGAAAGCATGCGTGGGTAGGGTTCCTTGGCCTAGCCTGTGATCAGGCCCATCTACTGCCCGCTCTCCCTGGTCCTGCCCCACCACCTCTGCCAGCCACCCGGTTCCCCTCGCCAGCTCTCATCCCACCCCACTGCCACCGCCAGCCACCTGGTTCCCCTCACTGGTGCCCCCACCCCCCAACCCACATGGCAACTGGTCGAGCAGTCCAGTTGGCCTTTTATTATATAGGACTAGAAGCCCAGTGCATGAAATTCGTGCACAGGTAGGGTTCTTAGGCCTGGCTTCCGATCAGGGCCAATCAGGGCCTTCTGGCTGCTGGCCGGGGTCTTCCTTCCCCTGCTGCCGGCTGCCAGCTAGGGCCTTCCTTTCATTCCGCACTGCCTCCTGGCGGTCAGCACACATCATAGGGAGCAGGTGAATTCCTGGTCAGTCGAACTCCCGAGGGGACAATTTGCATAGTAGCTTTATATTATATAGGATTAGTCATGCCTGTCTTTTATGATTGGTTTTCTATCTGTATCCTACTTAAAACTGGTTGCCTCTCAGGTATCAACAATGACACTGAACTGAGCATTTACTTAGACTTGGGCAACTTTATTTAACTTGAAATCAATCTGTTAAACGTTTGGACCTCAGACCAATTTACTGGGTTTCAGACCTTGACTTATTTATGGCCTGAGGAATAGCCAAAGAGGAGAGTAGGAACGAGAGCATTGTTCATCTATAGTGTGCCCATGACTCTTAATGCTCTTTTATTTTATTCATTAGCAAGCTGAGGCCCAGAGGTTAATGACATAGGTCAGAGATCTAACGTGTGATGCAGCTGCTCTCTGAGCCTTGGTCTATAGAGCAGGGAGATTCGATTCTTCAGAATGGTGAGCAGAGTGCTCATTCACTCAATTAAAATAGGTGAAATAGAAAATACAGGATTAGGGGCAGGGGCTACAGTGAAGAAGCTTCTGACATTTGTCACTATATGAAAATTTGTGACAAACATCCTGTTGTTATTTTCTTTTTAGGAAAATCTAATTATCAATATTTTATGCGAATTTACGTGTTTGCCAACATTGTGGTGTAAAATACATCATTAGATAGAATTTTGCTTAAGGACTACCAGTTTGTAGCTTCAGATTAAATAATCTCTAAAGTTTAAGTTTTTATTTATTTTTTTTATTATTATTTTTTTTAAATATATTTTATTGATTTTATACAGAGAGGGAGAGAGAGATACAGAGTTAGAAACATCGATGAGAGAGAGTCATCGATCAGCTGCCTCTTGCACACCCCCTACTGGGGATATGCCCGCAACCAAGGTACATGCCCTCGACCGGAATCGAACCCGGGACCCTTCAGTCCCCAAGCCGACGCTCTATCCACTGAGCCAAACCGGTCTCGGCTAAAGTTTAAGTTTTTAAATATCATGATTCTTGATGTGGTATGATTTATTCTGATTTGCTTTCCTTTCATATCATGAAAAAAAATTTCCTGACTACCATAACATGACATGTTATTAATCATAGAACCTTCTCTAAGTACTGATATACTTTTAACTTTGCTGGGGCATGTGGGGAAAGATTAAGAGGCCACAGGCTCCCTACTCCAGGCGATATGGTAAGTAAAGTGTTGTCTTCCCCTGAGCCTTCTAGTTCAAATGCTGTCTTTTAGTGTCTTTTCTCCATCACAGAGCCACATGTAATAGAGTCTTTCAAGAGTGTGAATAGCAATATATTAGTGAATCTTAAAACCAGTTCAGTGCATCTTGACCAGTATTAAAATGAGAGACAGAGACAGAGAGACTGAAAGAGTTACTGTAGAATAGAAAATGCATGCGTTACAAGTAATAAGAATAAAAAATTGTTTTGTAGACTTTCTTTCAGCTATACACTGAGTGGCCAGATTATTATGATCTCTGAATGCATAATAATCTGGCCACTCAGTGTATATCCTATATGATAAAAGGCTAATATGTAAATTGTCCCCTCGACCAGGAGTTCGACCAGCAGGCAGGCTGGCCAACCACACATGTCCCCTCCCTCTGGACAGGCTGGCCGGACTCCACCCATGCACAAATTCATGCACCAGGCCTCTAATCCACTGAGTGGCCAGATTATTATGCATTCAGAGATCATAATAATGTAGCCACTCAGTGTGTATGTATGTGTATGTCTATGTTGCAGGTCCATCATAGAATATCATAGAATGTATTTCCCACTGGCTGGCAATTACCAAATTTTAAAACCACTGAGCTGGAGTGACTAAGTAGATCCTTGGTCATTCCTGCTTAATATAAGATGGTTTAAATTCTAAGCTGGAAACCTGAAAGGATTTTTTCCCCACATACTAGTTACCTGCACTCCTGGTCTTTTTTCTTCTATTCCTTGCAAGAACTAGCAACTTTTCTCTCTTGTGTAGATCAGTTCCTTGATCCGATCGTCACTTATTAGGAACAGAGTAGCAGCGGTGAAGGGAGGGAGAGTCATTACCGGATGACAAGCCACCAGCCTGGGAGAGTAGGACAGAGACTCAGTGGCTGAGGGCGGATGCTGAGGAGGGCGCTGAGCCAGGGGGAAGGAGAGGCAATCTTATGATAGATAGATCACCTAGTATAAGTTTAAGGACATTGAAAAGCTACACAGGAAAGCAGACCGAGGGAGACTTGGGCAATAAAATGTTTTCCAGTCATAGATTTGTCTCTTTGGAACTGAGTGAATGGGAAAAAATAAGGATCTTGAGTATGTATGTGAAGTGAAAAGCTGATTATTTTTTATAAACCAGTGAGTATTTTTTCTAGTGTGAGGTTGTTAGTTAAATACACCACAAATTACCACAAGTTAACATCACCTATGTCTCATATTTTTAAAAAATATTTCTAAATTTGCATTCTCAAGAAATTGTATTGTGAAATTTAAAAATCTAGGTAGAATCTAGATTGTTGCATGAGATGGTGGACAGTAGAGGAACACATACTCCTCTGTCTTAGTAAGAATTTACAGAAAGTGCTCACTTAATGCTGACGATATAGTAGTTGTGTGACTTGAAGCAAAAAGATGCATAACAAAACCACTGTTACCACAGGCTAATTGGTATAAACAAGAGTTAAGTTCATATGGCATCTCATCAACATTATAACAATTGAACTGAATGTTATTGGAGAACCTGCTGTAATTACAAGTGAAAACTTTTCTTTCTCAAAGTTTCCAGAAATTATATAAATTGTACTGATTTCAACCCTTCTAAAAAATTTGAGGTTTGTCATAATGGTCCCCTACTGTGCATGAGGTGAAATACATAAAAAGCACTGAGTGCTTATATTAAGTATTTTACATTCTTACTGGTTTATTGATAAAGCCCAAGGTACTTCTGGGGGAGATTTATGAATGTGCTAATGAACTACCTTAACAACTCAAGCTGCATTGGAGGTTAAGCCTTATAGGACATTTGGTCTTGTCCTAAACACACACTGAGTCATTGGGTCCATGTCAAAAGGCCCTTAATTCTGTAAACCAAAAGTAGAAATAAATGTTATGATCAATTTGAACCTAGGGATGTCTTCTACATGTGGACATTTTGGACAGTATCAAATATCAAGGACCATTGGCCTGGACCAGATATGCTTCTAGATATTTCTGATGAGACCAAATTTCAAGGACATTTGGCCTGGACCAAATGTGTCCATGGATGTTCTGTGCAGAACCAAATAGCTACTAATGAAGGTGAGGTAGCTATTTTTTTTTTTAAACTGAAGTGAAAAAAGCAGGCTTTTCAGAGGAACACTTTAAAAACATTATTTGAAAACATTCTGAGAATTGTTTTGGCCAGTCAGTGTTTATTGTTTTAGCCCTCTCTGAACAAATATTTTAAAGAGCAACTGCAAAGAACAGAATTTGATAAGGATAGAACTCTTTTTTTTCTCTTATTTTTGATATGAGTATAAAACTGGTAAGACTGACTTTAAGAATATTTTCTCTCACAAATAATGGAAGCTATGTACAGTGTGGGGCAAACTTACTTTTGCCTTCTGTTACTTAGGTGATCAGAAGATCACCCCATGAGAAGGAGTATCCTTTATTTACTAAAGACTTTTGGTTAAAATGGAGTTGCCAATATTGGTTTTACTTTCCCATTTATACCTTGAACCATTGGGTCATATATTTATTTGGTATAGAAAAATTTTTTAGCTTTACTATCCTTATTATTCTTTAAGACTTTCCAGAAGCTTGTAAGGAGTGTTTTAGTGGGCTTTTGTTTGTTTTGCCAGATCACCTACCCAACCTGGATCTCACCGCATTTTGGACATGACTGAGCCGGTTCAATGGGCCAGATACCACTGGCAGCGGCTGATGGGCAGTCCCAACAGGGAGGAGGATGAGAGGCCGTACAGCTATTCCTCGCTGCTTGCCTGCGGAAGCAAGTCCTCTCAGACCCCGAGACTGGCAGGAAGGCACCGGGTGGTTGTTCCCCACCTCCAGCCCTTCAAGGAAGAGTATGAAAAGTTCTCTGGGACCTACGTGAATAACCGAATACGAACGACGAAGTACACGCTTCTGAATTTTGTGCCAAGAAATTTATTTGAACAATTTCACAGGTATTTTTAGTTTCGGGGAAAATAACTTTGTTCTTATCATTCTAGAGGATATGAAAGATTTTTCACGTTCATAACATTGTATGTTACCTAGGCTGAGACTTTTGACGTGGTCTTTGGCGATTCTGGTAGGGTCTGTCGTGGAATGATGTCCACTTACATTCACATAGCACGTTATATAGTTGACAACATGCTTTTTCTTGACCAGGGAAGACATTGTTATCCTCTTCGTATGGATCAGGAAACTGGGTTTGGCATTGTGGTTAGCCAGTTCTTAGGTGAAACAATAAAATCTGGTTTAGTATCTATTGGCTCTCCCATATGAATTTAGGCACGGAAGGAAATGCAAGTTTACATGGAGCCCCTTTCCTGTGGATTTGGTCATTTGGCAAGTGAAGCAAGATGTGTATACAAACAGCGGAAAGAGAGAGTGGGTGTGAAGAGAGTTAAAAAAGGCTGCCTAGTAGGATGGAAGCCTCAAAGAGAAAGGATGCTGATCGCTATGGCAGCAGAAGGGGAAGTGGCATTGAACTGGATTATGGAGGATGGAGAGATATAAGCAGAGGTGTTAGCACAGCACGTGTCCGCTGGAGGAAGGGGTGTGCCAAACAGTCGCACAGAAGATTTTCTTGAGGCCTGGGAAGTCATACGTTCAGACTAACACAATGAGAGGCAAACTGAAGGCAGAGAGATCATTCAGGAAGATACCGTGTATGTCCTGGTGAGTTGCAAGAGAGACCTGAACTTAGATCAATGAAAAGAAAGATAATCTGTTGCAGATACTATGGATTAGATATGGGGAATGAAGGAAAAAGATGGTGTGACCGTGTTGAGCTGAGATGACAAAAGGATTAACCGAAAAATTAAAGGCAGAAATAAAGAAAAGAAGCTTGGCTGGAAGGTCATTTTGTTTTTGTAAATGTTGAGTTTGAGATGTTAATGGGAGTACAGCGATTCTCAACAATCGATATTCATTCTCCTTATTCTCTCTATATGTGTTCCACATGCATTCGTTGAATAGTGATGGGTTAACGCATACATGTGGACGGGCTGGTGTGGCTCAGTTGGTGTGTATCTTCCCATGCACCAAGAGGTCACCAGTTCAGTTTTGGTTGGGGCACATGCCTAGGTTGCAAGCTTGATCCCCAATCTATTGCATGCCGATTTATATTTTTCTTTCATTGACGTTTCCCTGTCTCTCTCCTTCTCCTTTCCTCTCTAAAATCAATAAAAGTATATTTTAACAAATAACAAAATAAAGTATTCATGTGAATTGGTTAAATTAATCCCTTTAAGTGCTATGGGTGTTTCTGCCTTTTATGGGGTTTGCACTCGACTGCACTTTGAATAGTTCAGGGCCAGTGCTGGAGCTTTGGGTGTAGTCCACATAAGTAGCCAAAGGTGTTAAGGAAGAAATTTTTCAGAGTAAAAAAAGGAGTTGGAGGTTAGGAAGGAGAAATGTGAGTAGATTATTTTCAAAAGTTTAACGGGAAAAATGTGATGAAAATTCAAGGGGCTATGCGGCATTGAGATTTTGTTTGTTTCTTTTAAGATAAAGAGCCGCTTGAATTTACCTTGCAGGCCAGTGGAGGAGTTTTTAAATATATAAAATAGAGGAATGGAGGAAGTTCCTGAAAAAGTGGTTCTGAATAACATCAAAGCAGAAATAAGAAGTTGGTCTCAAGGGGGAAAAACCTCTCAGGCTTTTCTACCAATTTTGAGCCTTGTTTGATTGTAATGTTTGGCCATACAAATTGACTTCTGAGGGGTGGATGGTTGTATCATTTTAAAAAGTTATTTTTGTAAACAATAACACTAAATTTCCTGTCTGTTTTTGAACTTTTGAAGATAAAATAGTATTTCCTAGTATGCTTTATTCTAGAAGCCTGCTGCATGAAAATTCATGCACTGGACGGGTTGTTCTTCAGCCTGGCCTGCCCCCTCTCACAGTCTGGGAGCCCTCAGGGTGGGAGGTGACCCAGTGATCAGGGGAAGACAACACCCCCATCACACCTCTGCTGCTGCCACTGCTGGCAGTACAAGCCTAGGCCAGCCCTGGTTACCTGAGCTTTGGGCGGCCCTGGGCGGCTGGGAAGCTGAAGGTGGGTCCAGCCGCACCATGCACCTGCCACATCCCCAGTGGAACTGAAAGGACTGGAGGACTTTGGCAGGGCTGAAGAGACGGGGCACCGCCATCTTGTGGCTATGGGTGCTGCCATCTTGTGGCTATGGGCGCTGCCATCTTAGTGATAGTATGACAGTCAACTTGCATATTCCCTCTTTATTAGATAGGATCTTGTGTCACACACTCAAGACTGTCAAACTCCAGTATTTACTGCTACATATTTAATAAATACTACCTCTCATTTATTAAAGTATCCCTTGTGTTAGATGTTTGCAGGAGTAATAAATTGTTGGTTCAGGTTTTTTATATTTTGCTAGCTCTTTATTCTGTATCATCTAAAGTCAGCTAATAAACACCTGTAAGCAAACACCCTGAGGTTTTTTTCTCCTCTTTTGCGTTAGGTGTTTGTGTGATTTGTTTACAAATGCCTCGTGTGTGTTTCTTTGCAGAGCCGCCAATTTATATTTCCTGTTTCTAGTCGTCCTGAACTGGGTGCCTTTGGTAGAGGCCTTCCAAAAGGAAATTACGATGCTGCCTCTGGTGCTGGTCCTTACCATCATCGCAATTAAAGATGGCTTGGAAGATTACCGAAAATACAAAATTGACAAGCAGATCAACAACTTATTAACCAAAGTTTACAGTAGGTAAGTGTAAACAGGATCTGTCCTGGGAATACACATGCATTATTTAGAAGCTTTCAGATTGTTACTTTTTCCCCCTTAGGTGTGACTAAGACCCTGGTGGTGTTGGTGGTGGTGATGATATTTTCAACTAATATGTATTAGTGACTTTAATTCGTGTATCATAGGAAAACAAAAGTCTATGAGATGTTGTCAATCTAGGACACAAGCCTCTATAACTTATTAGTGAAACTGAAAGAATAAAACTTAAAACCATCAGAAGGAAAGCAAGCAGATAGGTTTTCATCCTCGATGATACAGCTTGGGATTAGAAGAGGGTGGGGTATGAAAAATATGAATGGAGATGGAGAACAAGATGGAATATGAAAAGAAGAAGACAAGAGCTGTCTGGAGAAAAGGGATTCTGTAAAATGAAGGAAACTATTCTTTGGGGGCACAAAAGAGGCTAATAAAACCTTCCCACTGTAGCAATAGTTTAGGACTGTGTTAACCAGTATTTTTATTAAATGGCTAGTGGCCCAGTGCACGAATTTGTGCACATTGAAAGGAAATTAATTAGAAGAAATATTTTAATATCGCTATTCACCCTTTCTCCATAATAGAAGTGTCAATCAAATTCACGATTGACAGTGACAGATGGAAACACATGCATATGATTAGCGCCAGCAAGAGCTTTATATGTATCATGCTTGCGTGAGTCAACTTAGCCTTTTATAGATATAGAATATACTTGCTAAATTAGACCTGCTTCCTGATTTAGCTAAACTTTTTCTAGCCCAGTGAAGCATACCAACTTCTCTCAGGTAATTGAAAGCAACATAGTAGTAAATATCAACATGAAGCAGATTATTATTGTAGATCACGCAGGGAGAACAAAGGGTAAGATGTTTAACTGCAGCAGGGTTTGACTATAGTCTGCACAGTGAGAAAACCTGAAGTCATTTTCAAGGTCCACCATTCCTTTTCAGTTGAGTCAAGTTTCTAAGCTTTCTAAATCTTCCATTTTCCAGCTCATGAAAAGAAAATAGGATTCTGCCGAGTCTCCTATCTACCTACTCTAGGCCCTCTGAGGATCAAATGAGATGAAGCAAGGGGAAATACTTCACAGACATTTGGTTGAAGTGTAAAATGTTTCTATCTGGGTGTTCCTAGGCTGAAGAACCTGCAAGGAGGCTAGTTGCTAGGGAGAGGAAACCAGGCATTGCTACGTGATGTCATTACCCAGCACCCACAGCGATTGTTTCTGGGCTGGCCATGGGGTCTCGGCAGCAATGGCTGTGATTTGGTGGGCTTTCACTCTGGGGTGGTGGCAGGGCCTGTGTCCCACTTGGGAGAAGCCAAGAGTTGCTTTGTGGGCACTAGGTCTGCAGTGCCATTTCTTTGTAAATGGCCAGTAACCGTCATGGCAGCTCCTGTGTTAAGCATCTGCCCCCTGGTGGTCAGTGCGCATCATAGCAACAGTTCGGACAGTGGAAAGGACATTTGGTATAAATATATATCTATAAATAGACCTGTTAAAATGGTGGTATAATGATTTTTTTAATGTTGCAACTAGGTATTTATTTCATTTCTTTTATATTTAATTACCCTTCCTTCCTGCCACATGGAAGCTCTCTGAGAGCAGATGTTGTGTCTTGTGTATTTCTGGATCCTTGACACCTTGACCACAGGGTAGATGTAGAAATAACTTCATGTACAAAAAAAACCATCAAATAGTAATTTTAATTTTATTCCAGATTTATACTCAAACAACTTAATGGTTCAAAATCTCACAGGAAAAAAAAAAAGAAATGAAAATGTGTTTTAGGAGCTAATAACTAAATTTTTAGGAAAAGTAAGTTGTGGAATTTGGGTTTTATAATTATGTGGCTTCCCTTTTAGCATTGAATAGATTAAAATTCACTCTAATACTTTAAACGTGCTTTAAATTGTACAATGAAGCTTAAAAAACTATTGAATATGTTTTTAGCTAGATATTCTATTTAAACTTTTTTTTTTTTTTTTTTTTTTTTTTCAATTTTAGGAAAGAGAAAAAATACCTTGATTGCTGCTGGAAAGATGTTACTGTTGGGGATTTTATTCGCCTTTCCTGTAACGAGGTCATTCCTGCAGATATGGTCTTACTCTTTTCCACCGATCCAGATGGGATCTGTCATATTGAGACTTCTGGGCTTGACGGAGAGAGCAATTTAAAACAGAGGCAGGTGGTTCGGGGATACGCAGAGCAGGTAAATAACTTGTCGGCAGTTGGTGACATTAACTAATTTTCTTTTTAGAAAATGACTAAGCTTACTTTCACATGTATAGATAGAGAGATTTTAAACTTTACTTTTGCCATTAAAAAATACAATCCCAGAAGGCTTACTACAGCTCCGGTATCAGTGGACGTGCGCTATATTTTGTAGGTAATAGAATATAATGACTTTGGAGTTCAGGCATTTTCGTTGGGCAATCATATAGTATTTGGAACTGAATTAAAGGCACCTAACATAATTATTTTGACTTTGGGTGGGGGACAAATGATGCAATATGCAGATCATGTATGATAGACTTGAATACTTGAAATCCATATAATTTTATTGACCAATGTCACCCCAATAAATTTAATTTTAAAAGAATTATTTTGCAGTTTGGGAAATTACTTTGTAACAGAAATAATCACCTTCTCATTTATATTTCTTAAGCTTAGACCTTATGCTATTGAAGCTGGAGACATAAATAGATTATTGTTCCTAAAAACCTATAGTTACTTATTTACCAAGGCCTTTTAAGACTTTTGTATTAATAGCTTCTCATACCACAGAGCTCCTAGGCCTTTCACGGGCTATGGTAAGAGAATCAAGAACATTGAAGTTATATTCATTAGCATGAATATAATGAGTCCCAACTCTGCTATTTAATTACTGCGGGATTTTGAGCAACTCACGGGCATACTTGATGCGTCAGTTTCTTTATCTTAAGACGGAAATGATGTCTCCTTCAGAGCATTGCTGAGAGACTCAAGTGAAGTAATACACGTAAAAGCATTGTACAAAGTGCCTAAGCAGCCTAAATAGCAGTTTTCCTTCCCTTTCTCTAGAAGCACTTGAGATGAAGTATTTTAAAATGTAATGGTCTTCTTCTCAATGAACCACTGTTGGGTCAGATTTTCTTCATCTTATACTTGGAAGCCAGAAGATATGTTAACCAGAGAATAAATACCCTTATCTTTAGTAAATTTCAACACCTGGTGTCAGAACAGGCCCTACTTTCAGCCTATGTATTTAGACCCTCTGTGATGGATAGGCTGCTGAGCTTACTGTCATTGTCACCTTGGTAAGCATTCCTCTACCTGAGACATTGGTAAAAGTCTTGGAATTTTATTACATACCACTAAATATCTACGTTGAGGGTGACGCTGGTTAATTAATCAGCACACTTTGGATTCAATTGAAGGTGAATTAAGGTTGAGCACTCTGACATTCCATGACCTCAATTCTAATCCTGGTTCTAAATTTTTTTTTCTTGTTTTGAGACCTTTAGCCAATTACTGATCCCCTTTGTATCTTGCTCTCTTCATCTGTTAATTAGACCTAATTATAGTACCACTTGGGGCGAGGAAGAAGAAATTAACCAGTTAACTGCTATGATGTTTTGAATTTAACTAAAAAAGGTTCACTGCTTGTGTCTATAGATGCTTCTGGCATACAAATGGTTAATTAATATATTTAGAGTGCATAATATAGATTCAGTGCATCAAAAGAACTGAACAGTATTATTAGAAACTCAAACTACATGATCATAACTCACATTTTCCATATATATTAATATTTCACGAGCTGTATCAATAGCATTTTTTTGTTAGCCATAAAACCTCATGAAAATAAAATGAAAATGAGATAGGGTTGGCTTGGATTGTTCATGGTGAATCCATACCTATGTCTTTAAAGACACTTTGCTTATTTGCCCATTGGTTTTATAAAGCGTTCTAAAATTACTGTTTTCTCCGTTAGAGTATTTTGTAAGATATTGATGTCTAGCTCATTTTTTAACTTTCCAATAAAATATACTGAGATCAAACGCATATGTGCTCAAAGTCTTCACATATACATTTACCATCAGAAAATGTCTATATGGTCGAAGAACAACAATAGTGTTTTCATCTTTTCAGTGCTGTCTAGACAAGTGGTTACTGTATGAGAGAAGCTCTCTTCCGTAGAGTCCTGTATAGATTCTAGTATGTGATTTGGACATTCCTATTGCCTGCCTATGCCTACTAATGCTCTAGGACCATTCGGATCCAATTTCTTAATTCATAATTATGCCGATACTCTTCTTCATTTGGGCAGTTTGTAATATAAACTTTGTGGCAAGAAGCCTTTGTTTTACCTTAAGAAATGGTGAAGGGATAAACACTTAAATCTTCTTGTTTTATGATTTAAAAATATGTGTACAAATATATATTTTAGGACTCTGAAGTTGATCCTGAGAAATTCTCCAGTAGGATAGAATGTGAAAGTCCAAACAATGACCTCAACAGATTCCGAGGCTTCCTGTGAGTGATACATGGCTTACCTTTGTGGCAGTGAGTGAAATTGTGTGTTGCAATTATATTAAACTTGAGGTAAAACTTTATGTACTTATAACCAAGTTAAATCACTAATGGTCAATATGTTTAGACAATTTATAAATTTGGTAAATATTTATCTGCTAGAGGCCCGATGCGCAAAGATTTGTGCAAGAATGGGCCTTCCTTACCCTGGCTGCCGGCACTGCCTTTGCACCAGCCGGAGCCACTTTTTCGCTCTGGCCCAGAGTCGCCTTTCCACCTTCCCATGCTGCCCAAAGGCCTGGAGCAACTGGGGTGGTGCAGGATGCCTGCTTTGTCACCATGGCAACGATGCAAGCATCTTGCCCCGTCCCTGGTCGCTGGGCACCTGCATATGCAAATCTTTGTTGGATAATTTGCATACTCACTCCTGATTGCCTGGTGGGCATCGTGAAGGTACAGTTAATTTGCATCTTATTCTTTTATTAGTGAAGATGTATATTTTTAAAATAACAACAAAACCTTGTACTTAAGCTAATCCTAGAATCTCACTAGTATAAGAATATCTTACTTAAGCTCCACATTAAGCCCACATTCTAGTTGTTTGGAAAGAGATGTTTGGACAGAACTAACAGTTTAAGTGACATGATAGGTTGGTGTCCTGCAGTTAGAGGAGCATATGGACAGTCTGGTTGGCATGAGTTAGCCAAGGATTTGGAAACACATCATTGGAAGAACAATGTCAACAGTATTCACTCTGAAGGCTTCTTGTGGTTTCCACATCCCTTTTGCATGAGCAGCTAGAATTATTTTAGTTTCTTTATTTTTAAAAGGAGACAATTTGACCTACTTATTAGGGATAATCTTGTGGGGAAAAAAATGGTAGAGTTCCCAACTCATTTTCTGAGACCAGAATTATCCTTATACCGTTACCCAGCTACCCAAATCAATCAAAGACATTTAAAGAAATATCACTATCCCACATTAACCATATATGCAAAAATTCTAACAAAATTATAGCAAATCACATCCAACAATATATAAAAAAGATAATACACATCATGACCAGGTTTCATTTGAAAATCATTTGAAAATCAAACTATGTGATGAAACATATTAAAAAGGGAAATCCCTGTGATCATTTCATAGATGTAAAAAAAGTACTTGACAAAATTTAACTTTTGTTCTTGCAAACTGGAAATAGGGCACTTATGAAAAACCTATAGATAGCATCATATTTAATGGTAATGGACTAAATGCTCTTTTCCTAAGATCAGGAACAAGAGATAGATATTCACTCAACTATATTTTATTTTTTTTCAAACTAGAACTGGAGATTTTAGCTAGTGCAGTCAGACAAAGAAAGAAAGGAAGGAAGGAAGGAAGGAAGGAAGGAAGGAAGGAAGGAAGGAAGGAAGGAAGGAAGGAAGGAAGGAAGGAAGGGAGGAAGGAAGGAGAAAGGAAGAAAGAAAGAAAGAAAAAAGAAAGAAAAGAAAGAATAAATAATAAAGAAGTAAAACTTTTATTTACAGATGGTGTAATGGTCTTTGTAGAAAAGCTGATAAAAATCTATAAATAATAACTGGATTTAAGGATGTTATAGGAGACAAAAGCAATATAAAAACCTCAATTGTATTTCTGCATACTAGCAATGAGCAAATAGATATGAAATTTAAAAAATATAATGTACAATAGCAGCAGGAAAAATAAAATACTTAAGGATAAATTGGACAAGAGATGCAAAAGGCCACACAGTGAAGATTATTGAGCACTGTTGAGAGAAATTAAATACCTGAATTTAAAGTAGAGACATACTCATGCATTGACTCAATGTTTTCATGGCAGTTTGCCCCAAATTATTGTATAGATTTTGTGGCTATAAAATAATAATTCCAGCAGGTTTTTTTTTAGACATTAACACGTTTATTTTAAACATTTATATGGAGATGCAAATTACCTATATTAACTAAAACAACTTTGAAAAAGAAGAAAGTTGAAGAGCTAACACCATCAGATTTCAAGATTTATTAAAAAGTTACAATAATCAAGCCAGTGTCATTTTGGCATAAAAATTGACCAATAGATCAATGGAAAATATGAAGTTCAGAAAGTAACACAGACATTTATGGATACATGGTATTTGATAAAGATGCAAAGGCAATTTAGTAAAGAAAGGTCCATTTTTTAAAATAGATGGTGCTGTAGCAATTGAATATCTGTATTTTTTTTAAAAAATTACAATGCAGGCTTCTCACCATTAAAAACATTACTTTAAAAAAAGGGTCCTATCCTTAAATGTAAACCTAAGATTATAAAATTTCTAGAAGAAAGCATAGGGTCAATCTTCAGTACCTTGGGTTAGGCAAATATTTCTTAGCCAGAACAGTAAAAGTATAATCCACAAAAGCAAAAAATAAATAAAAAACTTTGTAAAATTTAAAAACCTTTTTTCTTCAAATGACACTATTAAGTGATTGAAAATGTAAGTCACAAATCTGAAGAAAATATTTTCAATTTATATACATTACATTAAAAATATAGGTCCAAACCAGTTTGTCTTAGTGGATAGAGCATCAGCTTGTGGACTGAAAGGTCCTGGGTTCGATTCTGGTCAAGGGCATGTACCTTGGTTGTGGGCGCATCCCCAGTAGTGGGTGTGCAAGAGGCAGCTGATCGAGGATTCTCTCTTAAAGATGTTTCTAGCTCTCTATCCCTCTCTCTTACTCTCTGTAAAAAAAAAAAAAAATCAAAAAAAATCAATGAAACATATTAAAAAATAAATAAAAATATATGAAGACTTCTCAAAACTCAGTAATAAGAATACAAACACTACACTTTTTAAAGTGGTCAAAAAATTTGAACAGACACTTCAGCAAAAAAGATATCTGGATGACAAATATCTGCATGAAAAGATGTAAGTTAAAACCACAGAGCACCAATGTTAAAATTACAAAAAACAACTGTACCCAATGTAGGTGAGGTTATTGAGGGATGGGACCACTTAGACCGCTAGGAGCAATGTCAAATGGTACAGTTACTTTGTAAAACCGTTTGGAAGTTTCCTAGAAAATTAAACCTAAACCCACTGTGTAATCTGAATACTAAAAAGCAATGGTATTTAGAAACTGTTACATCTTTCCCCAGCCATAGCAGGTAACACTGAAATAACAAAAGCAAACGGGCCAGCGCTTTGAAAGCTTTCCTGAGAACTACCTTTGTACTCTAATCAAGAAAACTCAAACCATGCTTTTTATTTTTCCATCCCCACTTTTGCTGTTTAAAAATGAACCTATATGCTGTCTTTCTTACAGGGAACATTCCAACAAAGAACGCGTGGGTCTTGGGAAAGAAAATCTATTGCTCAGAGGATGCACCATTAGAAACACAGAGGCCATTGTGGGCATTGTGGTTTATGCAGGTTGGTTCTCACCGTTGACTCCTTTGCGCTTTTCTACGTGTGAATATGTTCCATTCGCTCCAAATGTCGTCTTCAGAGGCAGAAAGGAAATTTTGTCTTGATGAGCTTAATCATTGGTCTCTGTTTTTTTCTAAATGGATTGCAAAAGCAAACTAAATTAGCAATATTTATTATACAACTACTTTTTTATGAAATTATCTGCCAGAGAGATTTTAAAATGTGATACTTGCTGCCTGGCTTTAACATGACGTATTGTGTTCACTTATACAGGCCATGAAACCAAAGCCATGCTGAACAACAGCGGCCCCAGGTACAAGCGCAGCAAATTAGAAAGAAGAGCAAACACAGATGTCCTCTGGTGTGTTCTGCTTTTGGTGATAATGTGTTTAACCGGCGCACTGGGTAGGTAACATTTCATTATTTGCAGACATCTTTTCGGCAGTTTAATCATTTAAAAGTATTTTACTTTAAAAAAATTTATGAATATCTGACTTCTGTAAGAAAGGTTTCATTTGCCTGCAATTTTCCCCCCCTCTTAAATCCTAATCTTAATTCTTTGGCCTGAAAAGCACGAATGTTAGTTATACTCAGTTATGCATGCCACAGTACTTGGAACCAGGGAAGGGATTTAAGTAGAGAGAGACAGAGACAAGAGAATGTGTAGCATTTTGAATTTGAATTTGAATTTGTTTCAAAAACAAGTCATTGGTGTTCAACAAAATAAATACTCATCTCTGTTTTTTTGTTTTGTTTTGTTTTTAAGAAATAAAGTTCTATATTTGCATACTATATATATATAGCATCCATTTGATATCTGTGTATTTTTTTGAAAGGTCATGGAATCTGGTTGAGTAGATATGAAAACATACCCCTTTTCCAAATCCCTGAGCCTGATGGGCATGTCATATCACCAGTGTTGGCAGGATTCTACATGTTTTGGACCATGATCATTTTGTTACAGGTAATATCTATTGAGCTTATCATAGAATTTAAAGATCTTTGCCTCTTATTCAGCTATATTCAGTTACTCAACCTTTTCTCCCCCTCTTTAGCATTTTTAAATGGTTTGGTTCTTTTTAGGTCTTGATTCCCATTTCCCTCTATGTTTCCATTGAAGTCGTGAAGCTTGGACAAATATATTTTATTCAAAGTGATGTGGATTTCTACAATGAGAAAATGGATTCTACTATCCAGTGCCGAGCCCTGAACATCACGGAGGATCTAGGACAGATTCAGTACCTCTTTTCTGATAAGACAGGAACCCTCACTGAGAATAAGATGGTTTTTCGAAGATGTAGTGTGGCAGGCTTTGATTACGGTCATGAAGAAAATGGTGAGTCTCATGAAGAAAATGGTTGTGTGTCTATGATAACCTTAACATTGATCATTTTATACCCACTTAAAGGTTTGATAACTAGCATAGAAGTGCTATATTTAAGCATTGGGTACTTAAGTCATCCAGATGGGCATTAAGCTTAATTGTCATCCATTCAGAAGGTAGTAGGTCAAAGGCAAGGATCTGCTGCCATGATTTCCTTTAAAGGAAAGTGAATTCCCAGCAGAAGCAGAAAGTTGAGGTTGAAGATGTGACAATGCTATTGCATTATAAATGCTTTTGAGAATCCATTTCACCAGACGGAAATCTACTTGACCATATACATCTAGAATTTCTGGTCTCTTTCTTTGCAATGGCTTAAAAATGAGTCCATGTATACACACCACACACACACACACACACACACACACACAGAATGCTGAAGGGGGTGACGTTAGAGGCCAGTTCTCTAAATAACTTAATTCTGGAGAGATGTATTATTAATTCTGAGACATATTATTTTTACTGAAATGAAAACAAGTTAACCCTTCAGGGTTTTCTAGCAAAAGTGTTGGCTAGGAGATATTACCATAAAGAATTTTGCCACTTGGAAATAACCCCTTACACATATGAAATTGAACCAAATACATATGACAAGACCATTTTATGTTTTAAAACCTTGCAATTTAGAAATCTGGTCCATGGACTAAACAGCGTAAAGACAACTAACAATCCAACAAGCACATATATTTGTTTATTTACTGTGCATTCAAGATACTGGACATAATCATAAACAAGACAGATAAGGCCCCTGTTTTCATGTGGCTTCTACTGGAGAAAATAGTCACAAAGAAATTAATTTTTAAATCAAGAAAAACATTAAATAGCAAAAAGTGCTTTGCAAAGAATTAAAATGAGGTAATATGATAAAGAATGGTTGAAAGCCTACTTTGGATTGAATGACTGAGCAAGGCTTCTCTCAGGGGGGACATTAGAGTCTAGCTCTAAATTACATGATCTTAAAGTTCAGGGACAAAAGTCTTACAATCAGGGAGCAGCTGGTCTAGCCCTCAGTCTGAAATGAGCTTGCCAGTTTTCAAAGTAAAAGAAAGACCAGTGAATCTGGGTTTTAGTGAAAGTGTGGAAGGAGAGACAAGAAGGCTGGAGAGGTCAGTGGAGGTCAGGTCATTCATTCTGAGTTACATAAGCCAAGAAAAGGGATTCAGTTTTTACTCTGAGTGAACTGTGAAGCCACAGGAGAGTTTTGTGCAGGGAGTGATCCGATCTGCTTTATCTTTTAGGAAGATCACTCTAGCTACTGTGTGAGGAATGGATTGCTGAGGGGCAAGGAGACCAGTTATGAGGCTATTGCACTAGTCCAGTTGAGAGATGATGATGGCTTGGACTAAGGTAATGGAGATGGAGAGAAGTCAAGATATTTGGGATGTATTTTGGATGAGCAATGGACAGCTCTTGGTGATGCTATGACAAATGGGGCTGGGAAAGAAAAGAAGAATCAGGGAGAATCCTAGATTTTTGTTATGAGTAACTAGTATATACCGTGTTTCCCCGAAAATAAGACATCCTCCGAAAATAAGACATAGCACATGGAAAGATAAGACATCCCCTGAAAATAACACCTAGCGCAACTTTGGGAGAAAAAATTAATATAAGACACTGTTTTATTTTTGGGGAAACAGGGTAGTTAGGTACCATTTACAAAGACAGGAAGACAGAGAAAGAGTAAGTCTGAGGGAGAAGAATAGGAGAGTTCTATTTTCACATGTCAAATTTAAGTTATCTGTCATTTATTTATTCAACAAGTATTTGTTGAGTATCAAACATTGCTTTGGTCTTTGGAGATATAAAAAGCAGGTAAAATGATCTGCCCTTTAAGAGTTTATATTAAAAATATAAGCAAATAAGATATACTAGTATAGTATATAGAAGATGGTAAGTGCTGGGTTAAAATTCACAGTAAATAGTCTGGTTAGATCTGGGAAATCTTCATTGATAAGGGGACCTAAGAAACTTGAAGAAAGTAATGGAGGAAGTCATACAGATATTTGCCAAAGAACCTTCTTGACTCCCAACTGGAAGCATCATATGAAGAATTGGATTCCAATTAGAAGTCAAAGTTGAAGGTTTAGGTCTGGAGGTCATATGCAAAGATATGCTATTTCAAAGATAGGGCCAGATGACGTTACCAAGAAAGAGTTATAGGTGGAGAAGGGAGGGAGCTTCTACAGCAACTTAATGTTTGAGGCTTGGGGAGGAGAGAAGACAGCAGGAGAAACTGAGAGGGAACAGCCATTGAAGTAGGATGAAAAATAGGCACGCATGGTGTCAGAGAAACAAGAAGAGCCATTTCAAGGAGAAAATAGCTCTGTTGGACATTGCTAAGAGTTCAAATAAAATACAGGCAGATGCGATCATTGGATTTGGTGACAGGAAGCTCGTAAATGACCTTGACGAAAGCAATGTCAGTGAAGAGACAGGGACAGAAAGCCATGAGATTAGTTGAGGAGAGATTGGTGTAGGTGAAAGAGGGGAGAACTCTAAGGGTGAAGTCCTTGAGAAGGCCAGAGGGTTGGATGGAGAGCTTGAGTGGAGGGTTTGGCGTTTGAATCTTTATCCATAGTAGGAAGAGAGAGAGTTTGGGTACAGATGCAGGTAGGTTGGTTGATTCAATGATGGGAAAAGAAGAGAGTCCCCATCTGAATGCTTCTCCTTTTCTCCATGAGGCAAATTCATTAGCTAAGGGTATAGGGGGAGGAGTGGTTGGAAGCCAGGTTTGAAAAGGGAGGAGATGGTACGAAATAGCTGTCTTAAGTAAATGCCTGACATATTCAACTTGCAAGGGGTTCTTCTCAGGTAATGATGCAGTGTGACTTTTTTACCCCTCAGCCAAGCGGTTAGAGTCCTATCAGGAAACTGCCTCTGAAGATGAGGATCTTGCAGACACTCCCAGTGGCTCCCTTGGCAATATGGCGAAACCGAGGGTCCCCAACTGCAGGATGGCTCCTAACGGGCCTTTGCGAAGTAAATCCTCAAGTCATCTTGCTGGGAGCTGTTCTGCTCTAGCAAGTGGAGAAGGATCTGGCGAAACGCCTCATTCCAGACAGGCTGCTTTCAGTAGCCCCATCGTAAGTGTGAATGCATGGCTTGCCTCTTGTCCGTCAATAGTGAATAATGCCGGAATCTCCTCCTTACTATAATAGAGCCAAACACTGTGGTCTTTTCAACCAGAGAAGAGACCACATAGTTGCAGTTTAGTGTGAGTGCCATACATATAATTAAAAGTATAAACAAACAAATCACAATATCTCCTAATTTGGGGGATAACTTCAGTGTTGAGAGATAATATATTAATTCTGGGGAAAAATAGGAATATTTCTCATTAGGGCCAGTCATGTCTGAGCTTGAAGAAGACTATCTTCTGTAAGGACCGTAGCTCACTCTCAGGAAAGCTAACCAGAGTTACCTCATACAAAGGTTAGTATGTCTAAGTCATTGGTACCCTCCAAGGGCTTATCTATTTATTTTTATTTATTGTTATTGCTCACCCAGGGATATTTTTTTCCATTGATTTCTAAAGAGAGTGGAAGGGAGGGGGAGAGAGAGAAAGAGAAGGGACAGGAAAACATCAGCGAAAGAAAGACACATTGATTGGTTGCCTCCCATAGGGCAAGGATCGAACCTGCAACCCAGGTAAGTGCCCTTGACTGAGAATCAAACCTGTGACCCCTTGGTGCCCAGACTGATGCTCTAACTCCTGAGAAGCACTGGCCAGGGCTCTCACATTTATTATGACAGTACTTTTTGTAAACACAGCTTTGCTGACCCAGAGCCCAGCTTTGGCCAGCTCTAATACCTCCTTTATTATGGATACAGCGCAGGCTCTCAGTCATGCAGTCTTAAGAGTCCACAAGTGCAGTATTTGGATCGACTTACATCAATGGCATTTGTCACAAAGACGGAAGTTGCAAACTTTTCATCAGTCTGAGATGGACTTCAGAACACAGTAATCTCTATGTTCTGAAGCCAGTTATTAGTCAATGTCGAGTACAATTGGCACAATTAAATCATTAGCTTCTCAGATCGCTCACTCAATCCCAGACGTGTTCTGTAGAACTGGCATCTCTGAAATATGAAATCTGAGGATCCTGTTCATACCAGACTCTTGTTGGAGATTCCCAGTACCCAGTAAGCCCCCTGAAAAGTGCTGCAGTAAAGAAACCTGTTTAGCTGAAACTGGTTTGGCTCAGTCGACTTGCGGACTAAAAGGTCCCAGGTTCTATTCCAGTCAAGGGCATGTACCTTGATTGCGGGCACATCCTCAGTAGGGGGTGTGCAAGAAGCAGCTGATCGATGATTCTCTCTCATTGATGATTCTAACTCTCTATCCCTCTCTCTTCCTCTCTGTAAAAAAATCAATAAAATATATTATTAAAAAAAAAAGAAACCTGTTTAATATAAACTTTTTCCCCCAACATATTTCAGTATGGAACTCTTTGTTTGGTTTGAGGTTTTGTTTTTTTTGCTTAATATGCAATAACATTCTGAGAAGGATGCCTCTGGAGTATTGCTAGATTTTGGTAAAAGGCATTGTCCCTACCTCCTGTTTAGTTTAAGTGCATTCTGAATTTTCCTTTTTTTGTGGGGAGGGGGTCTTTTATTTCCCTGTTCTCACTTTCCACAGTACTATGTATATTAAATATTTTTTATATATTTTATTGATTTTTTATAGCGAGGAAGGGAGATAGAGCGTTAGAAATATTGATCAGCTGCCTCCTGCACATCCCCCACTGAGCATGTGCCTGCAACCAAGGTACATGCCTTGACCAGAATCAAACCCGGGACCCTTAAGTCCTCAGGCTTTCTTTTTTCTTTTTTTTTTCTTTTTTTTATAAATATATTTTATTGATTTTTTACAGAGAGGAAGGGAGAGAGATAGAGAGCCAGAAACGTCAATGAGAGAGAAACATCGACCAGCCGCCTCCTGCACATCCCCCACCGGGGATGTGCCCGCAGCCAATGTACATGCCCTTGACCAGAATCGAACCTTTCAGTCCGCAGGCCGATGCTCTACCACTGAGCCAAACCGGTTTCGGCTCAGGCCGACGTTCTATCTACTGAGCCAAACCAGCTAGGGCTAAATATTGTTTTAGAAGAATAAAGTTTACTGTGTCATGATTCATATATTCTGGTTATAAAAGCTTCTCATTTAGATTCAAAAGTCTCATTTTTAGACATTTGTTATAATAACACTTTGTCTTATCGGATCGCCAGGAAACAGATGTGGTGCCAGACACCAGGCTTTTGGACAAATTTAGTCAGATTACACCTCAGCTCTTTGGCCCCCTGGATGAGACCATCCCAGATCCACCACAGGAGAGTCTGTGCATCATTGACTTCTTCATTGCTTTGGCAATTTGCAACACAGTAGTGGTTTCTGCTCCTAACCGACCACGACAAAAGGTAAGGTCTCTAATGCAAACAAAGGTCACCTTTCAGAAGAGAACTTTGGATTTAAATGCACCTGTACTGGTCTTGTTATGTGGATAATAATTAATAATAATAATAGCAGCTAATAATACCAGTTTAACAATTACACAGCAATTAATCAGTGCTCTGCACTTACGATGTCCTAAGTGATTTCAGGTGCTATTCCTCCACTGTCATTTTCTGTCTTAACAGTTGAGGCTAAGTTGCCGAAACTGGTTTGGCTCAGTGGATAGAGCATCAGTCTGCGGACTGAAACAACCCAGGTTCGATTCCAGTCAAGGGCATGTACCTTGGTTGTGGGCACATCCCCAGTAGGGAGTGTGCAGGAGGCAGCTGATTGATGATTCTCTCTCATTGATGTTTCTAACTCTATCCTTCTCCTTCCTCTCTGTAAACAATCAATTAAAAAACAAACAAACAACAACAACAACAAAAAACAGTTGAGGCTAAGTAATTTGCCCAGTCACAGGAAGTATGGGTCAGGGCTATTTTGCTTCTAGGAAGGTAGCTGAAGAAAGCGATTTTTTGTGGAATGTGGCTCTGTTCATTTTGCTTTAGTTTTCATACCAAATTGAAGCTTTATTTATTTATTTTTTTGAGGCTTCTGAGACTTCCACCATAGTATGCACTGCATCAAAAAAGATACAGCATATTAGATTTATTAGCATGTCTCATGAGAATGTACCTCTTTCATGTACCAGTTGAGTTAGCTTTAAATCAATCTATCTAAAATCCAATACATCTATAATTCACCAAGGTTCTGCAATTCCCACGAAAGCTGGGTTTCTAATGTCTACTTGTAGCTTAGAATTCATGGAAAATTCATTTCCAGTTAAAAAGAAAAACTCGTTTTAGAGTCTGGTGATTCACCACTCGCTGTGCTGGCTTTCTTGTGTATCACTGTCTCCCCTTTTGCACACAGCCACTTAAAATTCAATTTGCAGCACAAACCAATTAGATCTTAATTTTCCATCAGATCATTTTCTTTGGGCAACTTCAGAGGTGGTCAACTTTAACATAAAAATAATTTACTTCCAATTAAGCTTTCATTTGCTCAGAAACTATACATTTTTTTAAGATTTCAACTAGAAAGTTGCCCTTTGAAAGTGATTATGTAATTTAGAGGATAAATTGTGGAGTGTTCTGTTTCCTCCCAACATAATAGTTTATATACATCTATTCCCAAAGCAGACATCTTTTAGTGTTTTCTGCTTAAGAAATATTGATACCTATCTCCAAAGAATATAATATCCTATGGCCGAAAATAAAATATAGGTATATACGAGCCTAAGTTTCATGATGTTAAAAGGTAGGGATAAGAAGCAATTAAAAAAGGAGCTAATCAGAATTCTCGTGGAATACAGAAACCTAATGAGTTATCGAAAAATTGGCCATCATGAGTCCCTCACACTATCATAAAACGAATAATTTTTAGAAGAAAACTTTTTAATTCCTCGGGCATTTCTGAATGAGAAAATTTTAGGAACCAATTAATTGCTCTTCACAATCGAATATGCTATTAGTGAATACTAAACTTGCTTACAAGTTTTAAATTGCTATTGCTAGGATGCTTACAATAAAGACTATGGATTTTTTTTTATATTTTAAATTAGCTCATTAGGAAAAAATTGCTAATAAATACACACACTGCTGGCAATATTAGCATTTTATGTCTTTTGCTATTTGTCAGATTTCGTCCTGAATGGTTGTAGAAGTTCATAATGCCATCAACATTAGCACATCTTTATCATGATGGCTCTTTATTTTCACTGTTGTTCTCTGCGGCTGTTATCTATTTAAGGGAGTGGTAACTCTTGTATAATAGCTCCTTTCCCCTCACACCTACCTCTCTAGTTTGACTTCAGAGTTGTCTTTTATATATATATATATATATTGATTTTTTACAGAGAGGAAGGGAGAGAGACAGAGAGCCAGAAACATCGATGAGAGAGAAACATCAACCAGCTGCCTCCTGCACACCCCCCACCGGGGATGTGCCCGCCACCAATGTACATGCCCTTGACCCGAATCGAATCCGGGACCCTTCAGTCCGCAGGCGGACGCTCTACCATGGAGCCAAACCGGCTTCGGCCAGAGTTGTCTTTTGACTGCATCATTGAGACCTTCCCAAATTCCTTCCTAGATCCGACTCTCTTCACTAAGTGGGATGCCCATTAAGTCTTTGGAGGAGATTAGAAACCTTTTCCAGAGACTGTCCGTCCGAAGATCGAGCTCACCATCTCTCGCCAGTGGGAAGGAGCCATCTCCTGGGGCCCCGACCGCCTTTGTGAGCAGACTCGCCCTCTTCAGCCGAGTGAAACCGGCCTCCCCTGCGGAAGGAGAGGCCTCCCAGACAGCGGGGAGCCCGCCGGGGCCTGGCAGCTCCGCTTGCCCCACGGAAACAGAGAGACAAAACGGTGATGCGGGCATCACCCACGGCCAGGCGGACGCCCTCCCCGGACAGCCCTTGACCTCCAGTCTGTGCTACGAGGCGGAGAGCCCGGATGAGGCGGCCTTAGTGTATGCCGCCAGGGCTTACCAATGCACTTTGCAGTCCCGGACCCCGGAGCAGGTCATGGTGGACTTCGCTGCTCTGGGCCCGTTAACATTTCAACTCCTACACATCCTGCCCTTCGACTCAGTGAGGAAAAGAATGTCCGTTGTGGTCCGGCACCCGCTTTCTCACCAAGTTGTGGTGTATACAAAGGGTGCCGACTCTGTGATCATGGAATTGCTCTCCGTGGCTTCCCCAGGTGGGTTCATGTAGAACTGAGGGTGGTGAGGTGAAGGGCTCGGAGATGGAAAGTCCCCTCTCAGTGGTTGATGAGAGCAAATGGGCAGACCTGTAGGGATCGGTCAGACTTGCTGAGGTAGAGAAGGCTCAGTAGGGTTGGGTGAGAAAGCATCTAAGTTTGGGGGCCACCCAGACCCGGGTGCAAACCTGGCCGCTGCCCTTAGTGATGTCTTGATAAAGTTGCCTGACTTCTGAATCTAAGTCTTCGGTAAAGGGGGATTACAGTACCTTCTTTATAGGTTCCTCAGAGGTTTGGCGTCATACTGCATCCCATATATGTACAGCCTTTACTCAGTGAGAGCAAACTGTAAATGCCCCATGAAGGACGGATAGCATTGTTAGAGTTACTGTCCCTGCTGGTATTGATGGTGTGGGAACAGGGCTGATATTAAGTTCTTGGTACTTCCCTCTTCCCAGGGAGAATGGGAACAACGGGATGAATTCTGGGGTTTCCTTTTATCAATGTACATTTAAGGTCCAAAACCGTAAGGCCTTTTGTTTGTTGTAGGTTCAGGTATTATTCTTAAAAATACGTAATTGGGCCGACTGGTGGGAACCCTGTGTTTTGCTAATTATTTCAGATGGAGCAAGTCTGACCAAACAACAGGTGATGATAAGGGAGAAAACCCAGAAACACTTGGATGACTATGCCAAACGAGGCCTACGCACTTTATGTATAGCCAAGAAGGTAGGCTGGTTGCGCTCTGCTCGCTCTTGCCTTCCAGGTAATTTGATTTAAGAGAACCTGACGGCCCTCACAGGTGGCTCCGTCAGTTGGAGCAGCATCCTGTGCACTGGAAGTTTGCGAGTTTGATTCCAGGTCAGAGCTCACACCTGGGTTTTGGGTATCCTCCCTGGTTGGGGCGTGTACAGGAGGCAGCCGACCAATGTTTCTCTCTTACATCCATGTTTCTCCCTTTCTCTCTCCCTCCAGATCCCCCTCCCTGTCTCCCTCTTCCTTTCTGTCTTTCTAAAAATCAACAAAAACAGCCGGGACCGGTATGGCTCAATGGATAGAGCGTCGGCTTGGGGACTGAAGGGACCTGGGTTCAATTCCGGTCAGGGGCGTGTACCTTGGTTGCGGGCACATCCCCAGTGGGCGGTGTGCAAGAAGCAGCTGATCGATGACTCTCTCTCATTGATGTTTCGAACTCTCTATCTCTCTCTCTTCCGCTCTGTACAAAAATCAATAAAATATATATTTTTTAAAATAAATAAAATAAAATAAAATAAAAATCAACAAAAACTTCTCCTCAGGTGAGGCAAAAGAGAGAGCTGACATCCACTGGGCTACATTTGTATCAGGGGCAGGATCGTTTCACCGAAAAGGCAGAGGGTCTCTTTTTATCTTGAACTCTCCATTCTTACACTTAAGTGTGAATAGATAGAAAGTGGCTCTCCCCCTCTACTTCAGCTGCTTTATAAGAACTTCAATGTAGATTTCTCCCTCTAAGGTAAGGTGACCAAATGTCCCGCTTTTGGTGGGACGTCCCGATTTTTAACAATTTGTCCCACATCCCGTGGCGTTTAAATCGGGACTTTTTAAAACGCCGCGGGACAAATTGTTAAAAAGTGTGACTTCTGGGTCACCTTACTCTAAGGCAACCTGAAGACAAAGGAAAATGCGTCATTCATTCCTTCTCAAGGAATTCCTCCTAATTTTTGTTTGGAACACGCCTTTCTTGCTTTACCAGCACGATCTGCTCTCTCTTTTTACCTTTACAAATAACTGACCCTATAAGCAGACCATCAGAAGACATCAGGTGCTGCTGACTTCATACTACCTCACGCTACACCAGTAGAATCACCTGAACTTAAATAAGTGGAGACTCCTCCCAGCTGCATACTCTCTGGTTTAACTGAATGCGTTAACCCAGTTTCCTCATGTATGGTGCAAAGATACTGAGCTATAGGGTCTATTCATTATCAATGTTACACTAGGCCAGTGGTCAGCAAACTCATTAGTCAACAGAGTCCAATATCAACAGTACAACGATTAAAATTTCTTATGAGAGCCAAATTTTTTCAACTTCTAAATGAGTCACCCAGGTCGTGGTATTTTGTGGAAGAGCCACACTCAAGGGGCCAAAGAGCCGCAGTTTGCCGACCACAGGGTTAACCCAATTTCCTCATGTATGGTGCAGATACTGAGCTATAGGGTCCATTCATCATCAGTGTTACAGTAGGCTGATCATAGAATTCGGGAAGCGTCTGACGAGGGTGTGGGCCTGGCACGAGGGTGCCAGAGAGAGGAATACCTAAAATAAGTTGAAGGCTTGCTATTTCTCCAGGAATCGGTCCTGACAGGATCGTCACGTGACTTGCCTTGTAACTCCTTTCTCTCCCCCCCCTCCCCCCAGGTCATGAGTGACACTGAATATGAAGAGTGGCTGAGGAACCATTTTTTAGCTGAAGCCAGCATTGACAACAGGGAAGAATTACTGCTTGAATCTGCCATGAGGTTGGAGAACAAACTGACTTTACTTGGTAGGGAGACTATGTTGTATTTTCTGAGCACAAATTTGAAAACCACTTGGCATTTCTAAGTTATTCACCAGTGCCTTCCCCCTCCCCCACTTTGATCTAATGGATACACGTGGTTCTGCCCACCCCATGCCGTCTCATATCAACCCAGCTTCCAGTCCTCTCTATGCCGTTCCCCACTGCCGTGAACTAGACTTTATTTGGGGTCAAATCGGGGTGATCTTTCTTAAGGAGGTCATTTAAAAACCCAGCACATAACCTAGAGTACAAATCATATAAGCATCCTGGTTCCAGAGAAGAAAGCTGAAGCGTCTTGCCAGGCACTGGGTACCTTACTCTTGCCGAAACTGGTTTGGCTCAGTGGATAGAGCGTCGGCCTGCGGACTGAAAGGTCCCGGGTTCGATTCTGGTCAAGGGCATGTACCTTGGTTGCCGGCACATCCCCATTGGGGGTCTGCAAGAGGCATCTGTTCGATGACTCTCTCTCATTGATATTTCTAACTCTATCCTTCTTCCTCTCTGTGAAAAATCAATAAAATATTAAAAAAAATATATATATATGCTCTTTCTGAATCTGCAGAACAAATCTTCATTTTATTTAGGAGAAACTTGGAGCACAGAGTAGTCAGTGATGTGTCCTAAGCCACACGCTCCTAACTGACAAAATATATATATTTTATTGAAATATTTTACAGAGAGGAAGAGAGAGGGATAGAGAGTTAGAAACATCCATGAGAGAGAAACATCGATCAGCTGCCACCTGCACACCCTCCACTGGGAATGTGCCCACCGCCAAGGTACATGCCCTTGACTGGAATTGAACCCAGGACCCTTGAGTCCGCAGGCCGATGATGCTCTATCCACTGAGGCCAACCTGCTAGGGCGACATTTGAATTTTTTAAAGTTCCCCAAGTAATTCTAAGAGGCGGACAGGGTTGGAAACCACTGCCTTAGACCTGGAGATCTGGTTTCCAATATAAACACTAACATCCAGGGGACCGGCCTCTGAGCCCCATTCCTCTGGCTCAGAGAAAAACAATGCTCTCTCTTAGTCTCTGGCCAATAAAATAATGATGATGCCCGCTGCTGAGTCCTTTCTCAGTGACAGAGTGAGTACCTGTTTGGCATTTCCTCATCGGAAATTCCAAGCTCTAAAATATTCTGTGGGCCCAGTGCCAGGACTCACTTGGCAGCAAAATCAGGCCCGACTTGGTAAGAGTGTTTATACGTCTTTATTATCCTAACTAGTGTGAACATGTGTATGCTATGCTGCAGAAATATCATTGTGCCAGATTATCATATATTACAGCATATGATATATGCACCATATTATCTTTTTAAAATCTGCAAAATTGTTTTATTCCAGTACTTATCTGGCCCTATTTCAGAAAAGAGAATTGTGGACTTAACACTAGGAAAAGAGCATGGAAAATAGGTGTTACGCCTTACTGACAAGAGCATTCTTTATAATTCTGCTCTTACCCTTGGGAGTGTCATAGAATTATAAAATTACAGAGTAAGGTTACCTAAGTATCTAAAACAGTGCCCCCTCCATTTACAGAAAAGAAAGCTAGCCACAGGGAGAATAAGGAAGTTTGCTAAACTTATTGATTCTTTTTTTTTTTTTAAATATATTGATTTTTTTACAGAAAGGAAGAGAGAGGAATAGAGAGTTAGATACATCAATGAGAGAGAATCATCGATCAGCTGCCTCTTGTACACCCCCTACTGGGGATGTGCCCGCAACCAATGTACATGCCCTTGACCGGAATCGAACCTGGGACCTTCCAGTCTCCAGGCTGACGCTCTATCCACTAAGCCAAACAGGTTTTGGCTAAACTTACTGATTCTTAAGGCTTCCTTCTGAAAATGTTACTTCGTATGCGATTTTGGCCTGGGTCTTCACACTTCCTTTGGATCCCTGGAAGTTACTAGAGCAAGACCAGGTTGACTTATTGATAGGGCTCAGTGATAGCCTCGGTGAGCCTTGGCTGGCTGAGTCTCTTACAAGCCCCGTTGCCCTTTGGTGAATTTGTAGGTGCCACTGGCATTGAAGACCGTCTGCAGGAGGGAGTCCCCGAGGCCATCGAAGCCCTTCACAAAGCCGGCATCAAGATCTGGATGCTGACAGGGGACAAGCAGGAGACGGCTGTCAACATCGCCTACGCGTGCAAACTGCTGGAGCCGGATGACAAGCTCTTTATCCTCAACACCCAGAGTAAAGTATGAATCATGAGGTTTACACTGATCTCTTTTGTTTGTTTTTTCAAAGCCAGGGGAGCATTTGTGATTTGATGAATGTGAGGAGGAAGAAAAACCAATAACCATTAGCTCCTTGATAATTATTTATTCTGTGCAGCAGCCTGCCCCGTGCTTGTGGAGAGGGGAGGGTAATTACCGTAGTTCTTCCAAAGGCTTGGTGAGATGTCAGAATGGTTCAGAGGAGCCATTGCTGAATAAAGGTATGAAAAGAAAGTTTCTTTTTTATTCTCCACACCCTCCCTTAAGTTATTGGGTTGCTTTCCAGGGATTTGACAAGATTAGCCCATAATGACAGAATATATCAAGCTCTAGGATAGGAATCTATCTCCCATTCAAGTTGAAAGGAAGTGATGATTTCTATTGGAATCAGGTGAATAAGTTAATATTTTCATGGTAATTCTAAAAATAGACTCTCAGGGTAAGCATGCCCTCTGGTGGTAATTCTTATATAATGCTAATGAGAATTCCAAAAGTTTGAAAAACTCTTTAAGCAGGGATTAAAAAAAAAAAAAAAAAAAAAAAAAATATATATATATATATATATATATATTATATTATATATTATTATTACTATTATTATTATTATTGATTTCTTACAGAGAGGAAGAGAGAGGGATAGGGAGTAGGGAGTTAGAAACATCAATCTGCTGCCTCCTGCACACCCCCTACTTGGGATGTGCCCGCAACCAAGGTACATGCCCTTGACTGGAATCGAACCTGGGACCTTTCAGTCCACAGGCCGAAGCTCTATCCACTGAGCCAAACCGATTTTGGCTAAGCAGGGATTTTTCTTAAGGAAAAAGAACTTAGAGGTTTGGAACCAACTGTTGGTTTCTAACCCCTCCCTTCCCACCTAATCTCTAACACAAATATTCTAATCAGTACACGATTTTATTTTTCCAGAAAGTCCCTAGCATAGTGAGTGACACTCTAAGGTTTCTGCATATTGTGTAATTCACTTGGAACACCTCCCTCACTCCTTCCTCCATAATCAGACTGAATCACTGACATCCATTCTGTCAGGGCAGCCTGACTTTCACACCTTGGAGCTTCCCACCCGGTCACATCTGGGACTCAGTCACCGGCTGCCACGTTTGGTTAGCCATGTTTCTATGATCAGGCCTCAGGCCATACCCAACGAGACTGTACACTTAGAGGAAATAAAATTTTCCATAGTTAACACGAAGTAGGTGCTCTCTGGCAGTTGGTAGTGGCCCAGGGACCCCTAACCACAATCACCAGCCAGCTCCCAGTGTCAGCCAGAGGCTGAGACAAGAGAATGCTTAGTTATTGTAATCACTACATTGAATGTGCCCTAAGGTTGGTAAGACCCAAGTTCAAAGACTTGGCCTGCCAGTGACCAGGTATGTGACCTTGTGGAGCTACCCTCTTCCTTGCCTGTAAAATGAGTGCAACACCTATTTCATAAGGTTGAAGTAGACTTTAAATGAGAAAACCTAAATTGTTTAATGTTTTGCCTGGCAGAGGCCAGGGGCTCAATGAATCTTAAAAAGGAAAAGTAATTAATTTTTGGTGTTTAATTTTGGCATTTTTATGAGCAGTAAAATATTTAGTATTTTGAAATGTATTTGTAAACTAGAGGCCTGGTGCACAAAATTTGTGCACTTGGTGGTGGTGGGGGGGAGTCCCTCAGCCTGGCCTGCGCCTTCTTGCAGTCCGGGAGCCCTCGAGGGATGTCTGACTGACGGCGTAGACCCGTGGGCCTAAGCCGTCAGCCAGACATCCTTAGCACTGCCACAGAGGTGGGAGAGGCTCCTGCCATCTCCCTTGCACTCGTTAGCCTGGCTCAGGGCTTCTGGCTGAGTAGCATTCCCCCTGTGGGAGTGCGCTGACCATCAGGGGGCAGCTCCTGCACTGAGCATCTGCCCCCTGGTGGTCAGTGTTCATCATAGTGACCAGTTGTTCGATGTTCAGTCAATTTGCATATTAGCCTTTTATTATATAGGATATACAATTTATGGTAAAAGCATTTAACACTACCAACCCAAGAAAAATTCACAGTGTATCATCTGTGGAGTGTTCTAAGTTCAAAAGATTATTTTATTTTTTTTGCTATTGAAAAGCACAGGTAGAATAACAAAACAGAACACAGTGAACTTAATTTAGTTTTATGATGACTCAAGTTCATGATTATAAAATGCCAGACACATCAGGGGCTCAGTCACTGGTATTATTTCCTTTTTTCCTCACTCTGCACCCCTCTGGAGATCATCCTAAGAGTTAAAGGAATTGGCCGAAACTGGTTTGGCTCAATGGTAGAGCGTCGGTCTGCGGACCGAAAGGTCCCAGGTTTGATTCCGGTCAAGGGCATGTACGTTGGTTGCAGGCACATCCCCAGTAGGGGGTGTGCAAGAGGCAGCTGATCGATGTTTCTCTCTCCTCGACGTTTCTAGCTCTCTATCTCTCTCCCTTCCTCTCTGTAAAGAAATCAATAAAATATATTAAAAAAAAAAAAAAAAGAGTTAAAGGAATTGAAGATCATGGAGCCCAATTTGTCATTTAGGGGAGGAATTGCTCCTGTGACATTCTAAATGGGCCCCTGGCAACTAGTGGAATGTCTTCTCATTTCTACAGTGTACCACTCAATGTTAAAAATTCCCGTCAACTTTTGTTTCTAACTTTGTAAATTGGATTATAGTAAATGTATCCACTCTATACAAAGTTCCAGTCTCATAATAGTCTTTTTGCTTTTATGTTTTAATTATTTCCTAGATTATTTATTGCACCCTGATATATAAAAGTCTTTTAGGATTCATCATTTAGTTTTTTAAGTTTTATAATTTTATATATTCTCCTGAGATAGTAACGTCTTATTTTCATGTTTATTAGTCTATAAAAGGCTTTTTAATACAAGATCTCATTGATATTTATAATAAGTAGAGCAGATAAAATTATAGTATTCCTGTTCTATAGCTTGAGATTTGAAAAGGTTCTGATGATTTGCCTAAGTACCTATAGCTGATTACTTGCAAGCATGCTTTCTATAGTATCCCACAAATAATGAAGATCAACTACATATTTCATAATCTGTATTAACCTGTCTACATATATATTTACGTACAATTGATTCTAATTATTCATTGAGCTAAGTTATATAAAGTTGTCAAAAACACTGAGTTAGCAAATAGTAATTCATTACCCATAAGGGAAATACAGAATTAGGTTCCCGGGACCTCTGGTCACAACCTTTTTGTCAACCAATCAGTACATAACTTTGTCTCCTGTGTGTTTCTGTTTAAAGACAACTTATTGTACACACCCATACACACATACATACACACATCCATGTTTGATGCATTAACACTGAACAGCACTGACTCATGTCTGACTAAACCTTATCTGACACACATATTTTCTCCATGAGGCACATTGTAGCTTTCTTATGCATAGGAACATTAGACAGCACTTCAGCACTATACTTGGGGAACATTTTTTTTTTCTTTACCCCCCTCTCCCTCTATTGCCCTCCATCACTACTCCCCCCCAATTCATGCCCTCCCCCTCTGGTGTCTCTGTCCATTGGTTAGGCTTATATGCATGCATTAAAGTCCTTTGGTTGATCTCTCCCCCTTACATTGGGGAACATTTTAAACAGTGAAATCACCAATAAAAAGCACACTTGTTTACAGTTTGGGAGCTGACATGAGAAGGCAGAGTGTCACCTTTCACTGGACAGGTGCACAGCTCTTGACTCATTTATTGTCAATCCGTCCATGTCCACAACTGGCTGTAAAAGCAACATGAGTATTGATAGTAGGCTTTCAGACAAATTTCAGCAAATAGTAAAATCGCAAATCGCACAAATAATGAAGATCAACTGTGTGTGTGTGTGTGTGTGTGTGTGTTCATACACACTTCTGAAGTGAAAGTACAGTTAATTTACGAACTAAACACATGCATATGCAAATAAGAGGATAATAGAATCATAAAACTACAGAAAATTTACGTTTGTATTTTGGAGGGCATCCACTCAGGCTGCATTCTGTACACTGTGAGCCTATGAAGGCTACAAGGACTATTCATGGTATTGGGATCAGATCTGTTCCAGAGGTAAAGGTTGCCAGGTGGCTCCATTGTAAAGTGGAGTCTCTTGTTTATAGTTTGTGCAGTTATGAAGTCCTTGTTGTGTCATACGTACATAGCCATATCTCCTTCCTCCCTGCCCATCGCATTTTGTTGTGGGTTGAGAAATGCTTCATAAAACAGCATTTGACATGCAGGGTAAATGGCCTCTGAATAAGGGGCTCTTGGACAAATTAACTATTTCAGGCTCAGCTTATATCATGCACTGCTCCTGGATCTCACTTGGCTCTCTGCTTAGCCGTCATTTGATACAATTTTTGGATAGGTTTTGATGGTTAGTCTTTTTCAGTAGAATTCATTCAATGAATATTGATTGAATCTCATGTGGCTCTCTTTTAGGCATTGTGAAGGTTTTAAAAGAACTTCCTGACTAGAGTGGGTGGGGCAAGTGGAGGGAGGTACACCCACCAAATGTGATGAGCACCACTAAGAACGCGCCAACCAGAGTATCCATCCAGGAGGGCAGGGATTTTCATGTTCATTTGGCATATCCCCAGCACGTAGAATGTTTTCTAACATACACTAGTTCCTCTATAAATACTTAGTGAATGAATGGATGGATGGATGGATGCCTTAAATAAAGAATATAAAAACAATATTTACTGATTTAAATTCTGCTGTATCATGCCTTACACGAAGGGCTTTGCATGCATTATTTCACCCATTCCTCACAATGATGTTAGGATATAGTCAACATTTACATTTTTCAGATGAGAACCTTGAGGCTACACGATTTGCCCAAAGTCAGGCAGCTAGTAACTGGCAGAATAAGACCAAAGGGCTCTTGAGATTCAGTGTTTGAGAAGGTAACTTGCACAAATAAAGACATTCTATGACTATTTTTGTAGCTGTAGAATTGGACATGAACTGTCTTCATTCTTTTAACTGCTTCCCACATACACACAGAAGCCTTTGTGGAAGAGCTGTCAGGTCTCTGAAAGCACCGAGGGTTGCCGTGGTGCACAATTGCTAAAGAATGACAGCAACACATTTCGCTGGATGTGGCCACCAAAGAGCCCAAGGCTAACTGTCTCTGCCTCTTGCTTCGAGGATGCCTGTGAGGTGCTGATGGGCACAATTTTGAAAGAACTCCAGAAGAAGAATCCAGTCTCTCCAGAGAAAGCATGTTTAAGTGAGGATGTACCCTACCAGCCTTCTGCCCCCCGGGCCTCGGGGCTGCGGGCTGGGCTCGTGGTCACCGGGAAGGCGCTGGAGTTCGCCCTGCAGGAGAGCCTGCAGAGGCAGTTCCTGGAGCTGACTGCTTGCTGCCAGGCCGTGGTCTGCTGCAGAGCCACACCCCTGCAGAAAAGCGAGGTGGTGAAACTGGTGCGCAACCATCTCCGGGTGATGACCCTGGCCATTGGTGAGTGGGGACGGAACCTAGCCTTGGGCTTCTCACTTTCCTGCCACCCCAAGGCTGATCCTTCTGTCTGTCCTTCCTTCTGTATATCTGTTTACCCTTCTGACTGGCTGTGCTTTACCTCCCCTTTTTCCTCCTTTCTTTCCATCCCACCATGCCTCCTTCCTTTCCCTCCATCACCTATTTGACCACCTGCTATGGACATGGCCAGGTAGTTCTGACATGGAACCTAAAGAGTCTTGGCTATTATATGGTGGCATAACCACCATATAATAGCCAAGACTCTTTAGGTTCCATGTCAGAACCCCAAATCAACTGGATTAAGAAGGCAATGTATTGAACCATAAATCTGAAAAATCTAGGAGTTCTACCTCCAGGAAAGTTTAATTCAGGGACATGAACAACTCCTTTATTTATCTATTCACAAATATTTATTGAATGCCTTTTATTAATAGGTGCCATTTTTCTTGGCAGTGGAGATTTAAGAGTATGTACAGCTGACAAAGCACTTTTTATTAAGGAGCTTACATCTAGTAGGAGGGAATGTAGTAACCAATGAAACGAAAAAGCATAAATATATAAGATCTCTCAGAGTGACAAATACTATTAAAAAATAAAGCAGAGCCTGGGGATGTAGAACATTAAGGAGGGAGAGGGGGCCCGCTATTTTAAATATGTGTTTCAGAGGTCTCACTGATAAGACTGAATGAGAGGAGAGACTTAGAGGAAATGATAAGTGGGCCATGGGAGGGAAATCTGTGGAGAGGACATTTCTGACAGAGAAGACAATGGAAATAAAGTTCATGGACAATGCTTGTTATGATTGAGGCCAAAGAAAATTTAAGGGAAGGGAATAATTTTCTGTAGGTTAGTAAAGGACAGAGAAGTGGAAGGTGGCCAGACCATGTAGGTTCTTGGAGGTCATTATAAATGTTTGGCTTTTATATAGAGTTAGTGAGTCATTGGAGTACTTTGAGCAGGAGAAGGACATGATCTGCCTTAAGTTTAAAAGACTCACATTGTCTCCTGTGTTAAGGGTAATTGTAGTGGTGTATAGACATGAGTAAGGACACCAGTTGAGTGGCTATTGAAATAACGAGGCAAGAGGTGATGGTGGCTTGAGCCCAGATAGAAGCAGAGGAGGTGGTGGGACCTGGCCAGAGAATAGACATGAAATTGAAGAAAGAACTGGATAACATTTGCTGGTGAATTTGATATGCTATATGATAGGAGGAAATAAGGATGACAACACGGTTTTGTCTCAAAGAACAGAAAAGAAGGAGCTACCATTTACTGAGATGGAGTCAAGAGTTGGGTTTTACATGTTAAGTTTGGAAGAGTGATATCAGGTAGGCAACTGGATCAAGGATAAAATTCAACAATGAGGAATTAACTAGAAGTATAAATTTTGGAATCATAAATCCAGTGGTGATATGTAAAGCCTTGATATTTGATGAGATCACCAAAAATGAGTATAAATGGAGGAAAGAAGTAGTGTGAGATTAAGCTCTGAGACACTCCAATGTCTAGAGATTAGCAAGATGAGAGGAGTCAGTTATCTCTCTCTTAAAAAAAAAATTATTTATATATATATATATATATATATATATATATATATATTATTGATTTTTTAGAGAGGAAGAGAGAGGGATAGAGAGTTAGAAACATTAAGAGAGAGAATAATCAATCAGCTACTTCTTGCACCACCCCTACTGGGGATGTGTGCGCAACCAAGGTACATGCCCTTGACCGGAATCAAACCCAGGACCTTTCAGTCCACAGGCCGACGCTCTATCCACTGAGCCAAACCGGTTTCGGCTCAGCTATCTCTTTTAAGGGTCTCTATTTTCACCTGGATTGTGTTCAGTCTCGGGGAGCTTCTCCCCTCAAGATGCTGATATAGCCACCCAAAATTTCCAGGTTTACCTCCTATCCTATTGACAGCCTTAATGAAAAGATAGCACTTCCTTTTAAGTTTCTGGAGTCAATCATCATGATGAGGGTGGGACTTTGTTCAACTGTTTTATTGAATGGACATATCAATGAATGCATTGGTCAAGCTGGATCCAGCTATTCCTGAGGCTAGAACCCCCAGACATGACAGTTATATCAGTTAAGTTCTGGACATGTCAATTATATCATGTGACCTTATCTGAACCAATCACTGAATCTAATAACAGATAATGCTAACTGTCCAAGCAGTTGTCCATTCTAACTCTCAGGGTTTGGATTTGTATAATATGAACCAACCATATAGATTCCTCGTTCCCAAGGAAAATCAGGATACTATTACCAGAATATAAGTGAATGGTTGGTGGGTAGTTGGGAACAGTAAATATTCGTTACCCACAGAAAGGCAGTAGCTCTGCTTAAGAAGCTTCCAGTGTGCTGGGGAGACCCAGAGCTCTATAGCAAACACAATATCATGTGATGGGTATAATGGAGATACACAGGGTGGTGATAGAGCCTAAGGAAGGGGCATCTGCTCTAAAGGGAATATGAGACGGATGTCTCAGAGGAAATAGCATCTAAACTAAGATCAAGAGCAACTGAAACCCAGCAAGGTGGAGTGGGGCTGATGAGGACAATGTTATAGGAATAGAAAAGCAGCATGAGCAGTGGCTGCAAGAAGCAGGTTATATATCTGAAAAATTGAAAGTAAAGTGGGTGACATAGAGAAAAGAGAGGTCAGTCCAGAAGGTGCCATAGCATGTAGGATTTTAAGACAGAATTGAACTTGGAATTCATCCTGATGGTAGTTAGGTGCCACCTTTAATTTCTGCTTAACTAGCATCCAGGTGTCTTGGAGACCCTGGAGTAAACTTTGAAGGATGTGTCTGTCTGCTTGAGTGGCCAATATTGATCTGCAGAGTTTGCATCCTTTCTTTACTCCTCATATGTGTCTCGCCTTTTCTTCTGTCCCATAAAGGTGATGGTGCCAATGACGTTAGCATGATTCAAGTGGCAGACATTGGGATTGGGATCTCAGGTCAAGAAGGCATGCAGGTGAGTGGATGCTGTGCCCTCAAGTTCTATGAACTTGACCTCCCCCACCCAAGGCAGCGTTCTTTATGGTAAAATATCTGGTAGAATGAGACTCTCTGGTTAGCTCAGGAGTGGGAAACAGGAAGTTTATCCATTTATTCATTGATTATTTACTGGGCATTACGGTCTTTTCCTGGGTAATTTTAGCTCCGTGACTTACCTGTTCAGTTTTAAAAATATAACTAACCTAGATCGTAACTATGTATATGTATTATGCGATAATGTGACTTTTTCAACTGAAAATAAAGACTACTAAGGATTTGAAAAAAATAAAAATCCTAAAGAGAGAGGAAGAAGAGAGAAAAGAGAATGGGAGTGTCCCATTTGCATGCATGCGTGGGTGCCTGTGTGTCCGATAGTGTTTTAGGCACATAATTCAGATAGAGTCGTATCCAAAAGACTGCTTTTTGTGTATGGAGCAAATGTTCTGAGAGGAAGATAGGACGTGAGACTTAGGTTTTCCCCAAAATTGTAAATTACGACATATGTACAAAAGATTAGAAATTCAAGTATCTCTTTGCCTGACACATACAAAGTTACATAAAATTGTGACTCCGATTTTGATATCCTCCTCATTGAGGAGAAGTGAATACACACATAATTCACGCAGTTCTTGCTAAAGGAGCTGCTTTGAAAGTTCTCTTGCTGATGTTACATCGTGAGTAGTGACCGAGGAGAAGTCGTGTTTCATTCAACCATATTGGAGAGCTGAGTGGTAGCTTCAGGCACCCTATTAAGGTTTCTGTAGGCCTTGTTTATTTGTTTATGGTGGGTTGTTTTTTTTTGTTTTTTTATGGGAGGGCTTTCTTTTGTTTTTTGGATGTTTTTTTCTGGTCTGCATGTAAGGTTTCCACCACACATTTGCCTGCTGAGCCTGTGGTGCTCAGCCTGCCATGCTGGGTCTGCTCTGACATGCTGGATTGCTCAGGGTGGTTCTCTCTTCATTGCCTCTGCAGGCTGTGATGGCCAGCGACTTTGCCATTTCTCAGTTTAAACATCTCAGCAAGCTCCTCCTTGTCCATGGGCACTGGTGTTACACACGACTGTCCAACATGATCCTCTACTTTTTCTACAAGAATGTGGTATGTAGCTGCAGAGGATTTATTCCTTTCCCCCTCCCACCTTTCAATCTTGCTTGCTTATGGGATGAAAAGGAAGTGCCCTGCCCTAACTGGTGTGGTTCAGTGGATAGAGCCTCAGCCTATAGACTGCAGGGTCCCAGGTTCAATTCCGGTCAAGAGTATGTACCTTGGTTACAGGCACATCCCCATTAGGGGGTGTGCAAGAGGCAGCTGGTCGATGTTTCTTTCTCATTGATGTTTCTAGCTCTCTATCCCTCTCCCTTCCTCTCTGTAAAAAAAATCAATAAAATATATTATTTTTTAAAAAAGAGAAAAGAGCCAAAACCGGTTTGGCTCAGTGGATAGAGTGTTGGCTTGGGGACTGAAGGGACCCGGCTTCGATTCCGGTCAAGGGCATGTACCTTGGTTTCGGGCATATCCCCAGTAGGGGGTGTGCAAGAGGCAGCTGATCGATGACTCTCATCGATGTTTCTAGCTCTCTATCTCTCTCCTGTCCTCTCTGTACAAAATCAATAAAATATATTTAAAAAAAAACACAAAATAAAATGAAAGTAACAATCTTATAAAAATAAAAAATAAAAAAGAAAGAGAGAAAAGAAAGAAAAGAAAATGAAGTGCCCTACACGAAGCTCACTTTACTCACTGATGTGTTGGGGCAGCCAAGAGCACCCCTGCTGTCTTAATGGAAATAATCTGGAATGTGCTATGTTTCAGCTGCTGACAGCCAATTGCTAGGCTTGTCCACCTGCTAGCATGTTCTATTCCCTGTGCGTTTAAATTCAATTAAGGCCTGTCTGGTTCATTTAAAATCCAATTTCTGACCTTCCCTATAAAGGTTGTGACAAGCAGGATTACGAAATGTTTAATACCACCTGTCATTGGCGAATGAAAAGGTTTGCTTCCATTTTACAGGAGCTCCCCAAACATAGCTGCTGTCCCCACATTGATGTTCCTTGTGTTACATGGAAGATATAGATAAAACCCAGTATGAAGCCTTATCTCATAGCTGGCAGGCATTTACAACGGGAGGATTTTCCAGCAAGCCTCTAAAATGCATCTGGGCCATCACGGACTTAGTTTATTTGAGACAAAATGTGGGAGGGAACAATGCAGAGTATATGCTCCTGGCCATCAGGATGACTGACTGCCCTGCTGTGCCTGGGAATGTCCCCGTTTGGGTAGCAAAAGTCCCATTTCCTGGAAAACGCCTCAGTCATAAGCAAACTGGATGGTTGTCCATCTTGTTGGCACTGTCCCATTTCATCAATAAAAAATTATCGTGAACCCCAAAAGCAAGAGAACGAACATGTGTTGTGTGCCTGGTACGTACCAGGCATGGGACTGGGTTCTCTTCATCCAGAGCCAAAATATCTCAAGTTGAATACCGGCTCTGCCACTTATTAGCCAGGTAACGTTGGGCAACTTCCTCAGTCCCCCCGTGCCTCAGTTTCCTCATCTGTAAGATGGGGACAAGAATAATTCCCAAGTGGTTATGATGATTACATGAATTCTCTGGAAAGCTCTTAGAACTGTGCCAGCACCACACAGTACATACCCCTCTACCAGTGACATATCTGGTGTGTGTGTGTGTTTGAATTTAATAAACCATTTGCCCCACCCCCACCCCTCCCTGGCCCCCATAAAAGCTGCAGGGTAAGATGTGGTCTTCCTTTTGTAAGTAAGGAAACTGCCTGAGGTTGCGCCCGCAGGTGGGAATGGCGGTGTGTGGAGGGGGAGTCAGTCCCACTGGCATTGCTGTTTCTAAGACGCCCGTGTCCCTCTTTGTGTTCCCAGGCCTATGTGAACCTCCTTTTCTGGTACCAGTTCTTTTGTGGGTTTTCAGGAACATCCATGACTGACTATTGGGTTTTGATCTTCTTCAACCTCCTTTTCACATCCGCCCCTCCCATCATCTACGGCGTTTTGGAGAAAGACGTGTCTGCGGAGACCCTCATGCAGCTGCCCGAACTTTACCAGAGCGGCCAGGCATCAGAGGTAGGCGCTCTGGCCGGTGCCCATCTGTGGCCAACGCCTGGTGTTTCTCAGGCAGCCCAGCTCCAGCACTGTGGTGCATGCAGAACTTCTTAAAACTATTCGACTCAGCCGAAACCGGTTTGGTTCAGTGGATAGAGCATCGGCCTGCGGACTGAAAGGTCCTGGGTTCGATTCAGGTCAAGGGCATGTACCTTGGCCAAGGGCCCATTCCCCAGTGGGAGGTGTGCAAGAGGCAGCTGATCGATGACTCTCTCTCATCGATGTTTCTGACTTTCTCCCTCTCTCTTCCTCTTTGTAAAAAATCAATAAAATATGTTAAAAAAGAAAATAGGGTCCCAGGTTCAATTAAAAAAAAACAAAAAAACTATTCTTATCATCTGGTTATTTCTGATCTCTGATAATTTATTAGCAGATAATAAATTATCCATTTCTGAGGTGAACAGAGGTAAAATTATGAAAGACCATAAGTACTTGGAAGAGAGAAAATCCAGAGTGTAGACCTTATAGCTCATGATATCTAGCATTTACTAAACTCCGCTCTGCCCTTTATTGTGCGATCCACTACGCATCCCTGTCTCACTTATCTTATGAAACACTCTGAGAGAAAACCTGGTGTTGTTCCTGTTCAGGGATGAAGAATCTGAACCTCGAAGGGGTTAAGTAATTTTTCCAAAAACGTCACAGTTAGGAAATGGCAGAGCCGGTGCAAGACCTCTTCGGAATCTCATTCCAAAGCCAACGTTAATTCCTCCAGGTTTAACTGTCACACAAAACTGGAGAGTGATCTTCATGGCACCCTCCCTCTAAAACCATGCCCCGCCTCCACGTTATCGATGTTTCAGTCCTTCCCGTCTGCCAGTGACATTTCACTCATACCTGTCTCCCTTTCCACCCTTCCCTCACTGCCCTGTTGTCTCTTAGAATATTACAGTTGCTGATGGAGTTAGCTGTCACAAAACTCTTTTCTTTCTAATTCATCTTTCACAAAATTAATAACCACCACCATTACGATTGCGCTAACAAGCATTTATGTCATGCCTCCTGCATGCCAGCCCATGTTTTAAGTGCATAACATGCATAAATCTAATCCTCAAAATGACCCTGCAGGATAGATGCTGTCATTATCCACACTGGGGTGAGGAAAGCCAGGCACAGGGAGGTACCTTAAGTATCTGCCCAGGTCCTGGGGCTAGTGTGCAGTGCAGGTGCACCCGGCTCCTGAGCCCATGGTGCCTACCATTAATGCTTTGCTGCAGAAAGAACACTGATGCTGTCTTTAGTCCTTGGATTTCCCCCAACACAAACACCGTGGCATTTAGTGACAGAAATGCCAAGTGCTCTCGCAAGCGCATTGTCAGGATCACGGGAACTGAGGTGGACCAGTAACCTAAAGATACCTGCTGAGGGGGATCAGCCTCTTCAGATATTCCAGTCTTAAGAAGAGGATTCTATTAGTGAAGACTGTTTCATTTTCAAGTGACAAAAAAAACAGCTCAAATTTTTGGCTTACTGAGAAAGGGGAATTAATTATCTCATACAGCTGTGAAATCCAGGTGTGATGGTAACAAAACACTATTATTCTTAAAGCAGCTGTAAATGTCCTCATTTATAGTTATGTTATCACTCACTGGCCAAGGTGGAGTCCCAGGCCTTTGCCTGTGTTTTATCCCTGTTTTCTCATTGACCAGGTCTGGGACATGGATCTTTCCTCATTAGGGCTGACCACATGGTCAGGGTTGGGAAGAAGGGTTTTCTGTGGAAGGACAGGACGGCCAGGACTGAGGCCCCCCAGATAAAATCTGTATGTTGACCTTCTGTTACTGTTCTTTAGATGGTGACACAGATCAGCGTGTTAGAAAGTATGGGTTATGTTTGGCTTGAATTTAAATTCTTTGTAGGTTATTTAACTCGCCTGCCCTTCGGTTCCCTTACAGAGATGGTGTGAGAATTAAGTAAGATCGTATGTGTAAAAGTCCTAGCTCTCAATATTGTTATATTTTAACCCCCCAAATTAACCAGATATTTGAGGAAACCCCATATTTAAAATGGTGTGTTACTTTTCATTAGTCCAGCTTTATTCTGGCTTGAACTGCCTTTCTAGCTGGGAGAGTAATTTGACGCCCGTAGGTTATGTGAAGGAGTCACCACAGAGGAGCAGTCACACATTTCCCTTTCTGAGAAGAAATCCTTATAATCCTTTAATGTCATCTATTCAGATCAAATAGAGACTTGGGGTTTTCCTAAATGAGTCCAATCTGACTTAAAGGTCAAAGCCAGAAGGCAGGAATGTGTGGTTGATATTAATGAAGGTTGTCTTGTACCCAGGCCTAAGAAAAATTCCAGGTCCACTGGAGAATGAGAGGTGAGAGAGGGCCCTTCAGAATGTTTATAGCTGGTGGTATTTATTTATTTTATTGTTGTTCAGGTTTTTTAATTTCCTTGGTTGTTTTTTTTTAATTAACAAACTTTTATATTTTTAAGAATAAATTTTAAAATCTAATGATTTTAAACCTTGTTTTTTCTGCCCTGGGAACTGAGAAGCAAACTTGTTTACATGTAAACTTGCCCTTAGGCTATCAAAAGGCGTAGCCATTCAAATGTAAATGAACACATTGTTTAAAGATTGCTGCTAGCTGGAATTGGATTACCTGTTCTGGGTGGGAAGGGCTTGTCCTCCCCTTTCTCCATTAAATTTAAGGTGTTAGCTTTAAAACCTCTTTTTGGCCAGAGACCTTAAACTTTCAGAACTTTAAATTTTTCAGGTAGCATATTAATTACTTAGCATTTTCTCAAATCAATAATACCTCCACATTCCTAAGGATACACTTCAAACAAAAGACACATCCAAATAGATCAACCAACCTCATCCAACCTCAGCCAAGCTACAACAACTCAACACATCCAGATCTAAGCTTTCATCACTTGATTCAGCAGACCCTCAAGTTACCCAAAAGTTTCCAGCCATGTCTGAGAAGCAGCCCTGGGGCATGGGCAGGCAAGGAGCCAGCTGCTCCCAGCCTGGCCGCTGTTACTCCAGGCCATTCCACGCCGCTGCTGCTCCAGGCCCGGCTGCTGCCACTCTGGGCCTGGCTGCTGCTACTCTGGGCCTGGCTGCTTCCAACCTCGCTGCTCCGGGCCCCGGCCACTCCAGGCCTGGCCGCTTCCGGCCTGGCTGCTCTGGGCCTGGCTGCTGCTGCTCTGGGCCTGGCTATAGCTGGTATTTTAAAAGCCCATTTGTACAAGCTGAAGATTGTAGTTTGTCCTTATTCCTGGAAGAGTTGAGGTTATTGTTTCCTGTTGTTGAACCCTGTTATCAATCCTTTGCACACATTGTTCTACTGAGCCTGCCGGTTTTATAATACACTAGAAGCCCAGTGCATGAAATTCGTGCATGGGGGGAGGGGTCCTTCAGCCCAGCCTGCACCCTCTTCAATCTGGGACATCCTCCTCACAATCCACGACTGCTGGCTCCCTTCTGCCCTCCCCTGCAGGCCTGGTCCCCCTGAACTGCCCTCCCCTGCTGACCTGGTCACCCCTAATTTCTCATAGCTGCCCTCCCCTGAAGGCCATCTGTGGCAGCCATCTTGTGGTAGCCATCTTTGAACACATGGGGGCATGCATCTTGTGTATTGGTGTGACGGTCAATTTGCATATTACTCTTTTATTAGATAGGCTGATAATAGACAGATTCCAGCATGTGGATACTGATAAAAAATAATTGACTTCATTGACTTTACCTTCCAGAAGAGTTGTCCTTTTTTTGAACTTGGTCTTCAAATAAATTCTATTTTATGCTGAAATCATTTCCTATCTCCATTGTCATGAAATATTAACATACTCTCCCGGGTTATAGAATCTTTCTCCTGAGAAGGAGATGGGTCTGGGAGGCTGCAGTCAAAGGCTTCCCTTCCAAGAAGCGGTTGTCTTTACCCATCTTTCATCACCCTCACAGAGTTCCTTTCTGGCTTTAACTTCCTGTCCAGATTTTGCCTTTCAGTTTCCAGGAGATCTCATGAGTTATTTCCTTCAGCCTCTCATTTATCTTACCCTTGACCTTTCTCTCTCTACTTTCTGTAGTCCCCTTACTCACATGAATGTATACAAATTATTATTATTATTAATTTTTTTTTAAATTTTTGCTCTAAGTTTTTTGAGCAACCTCTGTTTTCCCAGAAGCCCGAAGTTGTATTTTAACTTATTCCCAAATTGTCTCTCTTGTCCTGTGGCATTTGGTTGACCCTTTGACTCTGCTGTGTTCTCTCTCACCATTTGATTGTGCTTCTACTTAGATTTTATGGACATTTGGATGAAGGAAGGCAGGTCAAAGATTCCCTCATTTCCGATGAGAAAATAGTAAAAGAAGGTACAGGGGAAAGTAGGCTGGAAACAATGAATCTTCACTGTTTGATTTTTTCCAAAGGACAGATAAAAAAGGTTAGATATAAAAGTTGCAAGTGTAGTCTTTTGAAGAGTGGAAGGAAGTATATGGAGAATTTGTACATTTTTAAAGCTTCAGGAGACAATTGGATATTTTTCAAGGAGATTTTAGCCTCTTTTTTTTGCATTTGGAAGGTAATAAAACTAAGAACATGTTAACAAAATAGAAGGCTGGCTCAGGGATATGCTACATGTGATGCCATTTTTGTCTGTGGCAGATATCACTAATGAACTATAATGTGCTACCCTTCCCACTGGGTCTGAATGCAGCTTCCAAATCCTTTTGCACACACATTACCATCCAATCCAAGTTGGTTTCGGATTGAAACCTGTTTTCAGTTACTTGTGACTAGTGTCTCTACTTGATCTCTGTTTCTTTCTATAAGCTTTTGGTAAGAAGCTCATGATAAGTTACATAAGGGTAGTATATTACTCCAACAAATATTTGTGAAGTACTTGCTCTGTGCCAGGTACTGTTTTAAACATTTGAATAAAAGAATCAAAATCCCACTCTATAAAACTTGTATTCAGTTGAGAGGACCAGAAAATCACTATGTAAACAAAATGAGATTATTTTTTTTTATGGTGATGAGGGACTTCTAAGGATGCATGGTAGTAAAGGATCGAGTGGGTGTTACTTTCAGACGGGTCTGGAATGCCTCCCTGAGGAAGTGATACCTGAGCTAGGATATGAATAGTGAAGTACTGGTCATGTGGGAGGTCCAGGGCAAAGGATTTCTGGTAGAGAAAACAGCACTGACGAAGACTCAGGGTACAGTGCATTTGATATGTTTGAGGAACAGAATGAACTCTATGTGGTGGGAGGGTGGGAATGAGGATAAGAATTGTAGGGGTGACCCTGGAGAGCAGGGACTCCATGAGCAGATCATGCAGGACCTTATAGACCCAGGGAAGGAGCTTACATTGCATTGGAAATGCAGTGCGAGGTGATTGGAGGGAGTCACTTTGATTAGTTTGGGCGATGTTGTGATCTAATTTATAGTTTTTAAAAACATCTGGCTGCTATGAAAAGGTTGAATTAGAGTAGGAGAGGAGGCAAAGAGGCTAGATAGTTGGCTATCCAGTCACTTATAGATTGGGTGGCGAATTAGAATGAAGAGTGTAGTAGAGATAGAGAGAAGTAGATAAATTTGGAGACGTTTTTGAAACGGCATTTTCTAATCAATAGGAAATGAGAAGTGAGTATCACTCTCTCTATTTGAGGTAGCTTTATGTTTGATGCAGTGACTAAAGCAACATGTTAAGAGTTCCTTCTAGGGGTTTTTTCAACTGTGAACTAATTCAATATCTTCTCATATTCTTCCACCACTATTTACAAATCCACCTGTTTTTTGAGTGAACAAATGAAGTAAGAGAGGTTTCTCCCAGAGAAGCAAATATAAGTACTAGCTTGTATTGTTCCTTAACTCTAATTGGCCCTTATTAATCTTTCTCCCTCCCTGATATCTGTTTCCTTCTCAGGCATACTTACCCCTCACCTTCTGGATCACCTTGTTGGATGCCTTTTATCAAAGCCTGGTCTGCTTCTTTGTGCCTTACTATGTGAGTCCGTGTCCACTCAGAGGGTTTGTTACAAATTAATCGATGATGCTTCTTTGTACTCTGTGGCTGGGTATGTTAGGGCAGATTGCTCGTAGTATCAAGTTGATTATTAACTGACTAAATTATTACACACCCCTCCCCCCAAAAAATAGATTTTAGATAATGGATTAAATTTGGAAAGAAATACCTAGGTAAGTCCTCTTAGGTCTTTTTTTGGTTCTGTACTGCTTGATAATTTTTTTTCAATGATTTAAATAAAATTGAAAGTCTGGCAATATAATTGAATGAATCAAAATCAGAGAGGAAAAGCCAGAATATAAAATCTATTTTTAGTGAGTGCTGGGCTAATTCTACCAGGATGACATTCAGAGTATTACATTTAAGCTCTTATAAATAGTTTTCCCAAAAATAAAAAATAAAAAACCTGTTTTACAGGTAAAGGATGGAAGAAATGTTACTAAGCAAAGAATGTGTACAAATTAATTTAAAAAGTTGGGCCAAGCACAGAGCAGCATGATGTAGCCGCTCATCCACACACCCATCCCTGGGAGAAAACAGTCGTTAGATCATGGATGGTGTTATTGTTATGGTAGAATAAAAAAGATGACAGTCTCTGAGTTAATAATTCCTATTGTTTAGTTCTTTATTCAAATAAAATGACTTGACTTTTCCCAGGTACAATATCCTGGATAAACTGCATTTCAAGAGCAATATAGATCAGGCAATCTGAAGTGCGTTCAGAAAAGAGTAACTAGAATTTTAAAAGATCAGACAATTGTGTCACATGGGGAATAATTTAAGGAGTCGAAAACGTATATCTAGAAGAGGAGAGGATATTTAATTACCAGAGATATAAACTCAGGTTAGCCACGATTGCTATTTCAAGATTTGCAGCTCTGTTAAATAGAACATATTTGATATTTCTCCATGCCTTACAGAGCAGGAAGTTTGAGTAGAAGTTTTCAGGAAGATGGATAACAATTCAGAATAAAGAGAAATCCCAAATGAAAAGTTCACAGATTAGATAGCCTGTCTGAGAGGGCGCCGGCCTCTCTCATCTAGAAATGTTCAAGTTTATCCTAAATGACCAGTTACTGGGAATGTTGTAAAAGGGACTCGGTGCTTTGCTGATCTATGGGATAAAGGGATGATGCTCACACCACAGAGTGTGCACGACTCTCCAAGATCACCTCCTGCCATCTTCTCTTTGCAGACCTACCAGGGCTCAGACATTGACATCTTTACGTTTGGAAACCCCCTGAACACAGCTGCTCTGTTCATCATTCTCCTCCATCTGGTCATTGAAAGCAAGAGTTTGGTGAGTGGCTTTTCTGCTTCCGAAGTAGCCTGAACGCGTTGTGCTTGGGAAAATGTCTTCTATTAGCCGTGCCCCTCCCGAGCCCTTCCCGCCTGGAAGACAAGTGGTAATGAAAAGAGCGATGTCCCCATGGAAGAAGGGGGATACATAGCTTGTGGACTGTTTATGGTCTGGTGCCATGATGCAGCCAGGAAAGGGGAACACACCTGCCTGGTGTCCACAGTGGAGGGTTCGTGAAGGGGTGTCAGGTGGAGCAACAATTATCCTTATGTGGCCAGCATTCTTCAAGACCAAGCTGATGCCTTCCAATCCAAATAAAAAGAGGTGTTATGCTGTGATTCTGGTATACTGACTCTAGTTAGAAAGTGATGATTTTATAATTTTCTCATAATACAAAATAAAAATATTTTCTCCCTCAGAATTTCTACCATTGGGTCTTTTTAACTTAGTTGCTGAGTTAATGGTAAAATTAAGTCTTTTCATCAAAATGGTTGCAAGGTAGCTCTCTGCAGCAAAACCTTAGTGTGGGATTCAGACAAAGGGAGCTTTATTGCAAACCTTCCCTTGCAGATAAAGCACACCCACCCACCTCAGGAGCATAAACTACCTCTGTGATTATTATGCTGCTCACTCATCTCCATTAGGCATCGTCTCTACTATAGTCAAACTCACTGTCATCTCATCCTGGACTATTGTACAGCCACCTTAATCTTCCCACCTCTGCCTTAACCTCTCTCTAGCCCTTCTCTACAAAACAACCAGGATCATTCATGAAGACATAAATCCTACCTTTTTGCTCTCCTTTGGTGGAAATCTCTCAGTGGCTTCCCAATGTACTTGTAATCTATACTAATAAAAGGGTAGTATGCTAATTAGACCAGACATCTTCCAGACAAAGCCACGGGGGCAATCAAGCTGGCAGGGGAGGGCAGTTAGAGGTGATGAGGCTGGCAATGGAAGGCAGTTATAGGCCACCTGGCTGGCAGAGGTGGGCAGTTAGGGGCCATGAGGCCACAGGGGAGCAGTTATGGGGTGATTAAGCCAGCAGGCAGAGGTGGCTAGAGGCTATCATGCAGGTAGGCAGGCAGGCAAGCAGGGTCCCAGATTGTGAAAGGGATGTCAAACTGCTAGTTTAAGCCTGGTCCCTGCAGTTAGACATCCCTCAAGGACTCCCTGGTTGGAGAGGGTACAGGCTGGGCTAAGGGACTCCCCCTCCCCCACTCTCCTCTGTGCACGAATTTTGTGAACCGGGCCTTTAGTAAAATATAAAAGTCCTAAGGTGGCCTGTGAGACTTCATGCAGTGACACCTCTACTTCTCTCTCCAACCTCATTTCCACTTATTTGTGGCCTGGAACCACACGGTCTCGGTCTCTCTCTCTCTCTCTCTCTCTCTCTCTCTCTCTCTCTCTCTCTCTCTCAGTTTCTCAGATACATTGAGCTCATTACACATCAGAGCCTCAGCATTTACCACATCTTCTGATGAGAGTCGTCCTTGTTCCCCTTGGATCCCTGTTCTGCACCCAGCTCCTAAATTATCTGAGGTCTCAGCAAAAATGCTCCTCTGCCAAGAGCCTCTTCCCAACCACCCGGTTTTCTCATATCATCCTCTTGTTTTATTCATAGTTCTAATAATAACTTATAATTATTCATTTAATTATGTGATTACCTGATTGATGTTTCTCTTCTGCATTACATTATCATCTCTTTGAGGGCCCTGTTCATGTTGATTTTTTTCACTGCTGTGTTCCATTATTATCTATGACAAGACTGGCACACAGTATGTGCAAAGATATTCGAATGGGTAAATGAATGATTATATGATTAACCAGTGTTTGGGGTCGGTTTACCATCCTGATAGTGATGTATTTCAAACAGGAAGTAGCTGAGTGAGGTTACAGTTTAAAATGTCACATGAGCTATTATTAGAAGTGTATATCATGATTTCTAAAGTGGGCTGAGTATTTTTTGGAATCCCTCACTTTGTGTATAACCTATTTATAAGCCTCAAGTATAGTAAAAGGTTAATTAATACCAGGTGAGGAGAATAAAGGGAATTCTAGAACTAAAATACTTGACATTGTTTGATCTGTTTAAGTTCATCATTGAGCAATTATGTAGGTACTTTTGGTTACTGCCTAGGGAAGGGTCATAAATTCTGACATTTATGCATGTCCTGAAGGATCTAACACAAAATGTGAGTTCACTGGGCAACAGCAATCTGCTCTGGCTAACCTGAGCAAATGGGAAAGTTATTAAAAGTATCTGGACTAGCCCTGGTAAAACAAAACAAAACAAAACAAAACAAACATCTGAGGAACCCAGAGATCCGGGAACAGAAACTAGTGGGCAGGCTTGTCGGGATGGTTCTCTGCTCTGAATTGACCCCAGTCCTTTCTTTCTGCTCTTGCCTCATTGTGCCTCGAGCATATTCCGTGATGACAGAATTATATTCCCTTGGCTACAGTCACAGGCTTTGGCCAGAGGAGGAATGTGTTGCCCAGACTGTGATAATGCCCGTGTCCTCATAAGAGGAAGGGAAGTGAGAGCTAAGTGCCAAGAAAAACAGTGGCTGCTCTATAAAGGATGCATCATTAAAGACTTGTCTCCATGCCAGGAAGAAACGATTTTTTAATGATGGTTTCTCCCTGGCGTGAGAATCAAATTGTTTCTTATGCTCGGGGCCTTTTCAATGAGTCAGCCCTCCTGAGACCAGGAATGGCTTTCCCTTCCCCTCTTGCTCACCATCTCATTGTCACCTCCCACCTCCCTGTTGGTTTTTACCCAATTTCCCTTGACCTTAACTTCCTTGTATCAATTTATTTTCATGTGTTAGCTCCGTCAAGGCACTGTCTCGCTAAAGTTATTAAAAGTATCTGGAATAGCCCTGGTAAAACAAAACAAAACAAAAACCAAAGCCCATGTTAACTTTCGGGCAGTAGGCTCATTTGAGAAAGAATACATCGTTGTTTTAGAGGCATGAGATCTTATGGATTTAACCTATATTTTTCTAAGCAGTTTGTACATTTTACAAAAACAAATTTTAAAAAAAAGCAACCTTTGTGACTTTTGAAGATATTGACCATGGGGAAATAGTTGGCACGACTGAGCGTGAAGGAAAAAATGGGCTCTTGTTTGGAAAGTGTAACGGTAGGAAAATAAAAAAGATGAATAAAGGCAGTGCTTTCCCCAAAAGCATACAGAACTAAAGTATACACTGTGATTTAGGCAGGACTGTATATGCACTGCACTAAACAACACTGGATGCCACATAATGCGAAGGTGTTTTTCTCATCATACTTCAGATCATGTCAAAGAGGAAGTCTGTCAAAGAGGGGCTGTTCTGTTTTATCACAACAATTCTCGCTAATTTCCTATTGTAACAGAGAAACATCGATCAGACCATCAAATCTCAGAGGGGAGGTAGGGGAGGATGGGGGTCAGGGAGAAAGATCAACCAAAGGACTTGTATGCAAGCATATAAGCCTGACCAATGGACACAGAGACAAGGGGGATGAGGGCATGAGTGGGGGAGATGGTGGGGGTTAATAGGGGAATAAGGACACATGTGTAACACCTTAGGCCCTACAGCAGCGGTCTCAATCTGTGGGTCATGACCCACAGGTTGAGAACCACTAGCAGGGTTGCCTAAGACCATCGGAAAACACAGATGTTTACATTACGGTTCATAACAGCAAAATTACAGTTATGAAGTAGCAATGAAAATAATTGGAGGTCACCACATGTTGGGGGTCACCAACATGAGGAACTGTATTAAAGGGTCGCAGCATTAAAAAAGTTGAGAACCACTGCTAAATAAATTAAAACAAACAAAAAAAAAAAAAAAAAAAAAAAAAACAGACCAGCCTCCAGACTTAGCACTATTAATACAGGTAATGCTAATGCTTATTTTTTCTAAATAAAGGTAATTAGATAGCCATTTTAGAGAAAAATATTTTTTAAAAGAATATTGCAGGCTATACATGAATATGAAGGTGGCTAGGTGATGCTGTGATCCACAAGGATTTATTTCTTGCATACTAGTGTGTAAAGTTAACCAAGGTTCTAGACAATCTTCCTGAGGGGTGGCTCTAAGACCCAGCTGAGTCTCGGAGCTCTACCTTCTGGAACTGTCCCCAAGGGGAACTTCTTGGTCAACATGGAAGGAAAGGAGACAGCATAGAAAATATGCACCAGCTCTTTCCCTGCTTCTGACCTCAAAGTTGTGCATGTCCCTTCCATTCACATTTCAATGGTCAAAGCAAGAGAGGTGACCAGGCTTATGAGAGGATGGGAGAAGTATTATACAATCCTTCTGAATACTTATTTGAGGAAAAGAATGAGAATATTGGTGGGCAACAGTAATAACTACAACAATGTGAATGGATGGATAAGTTTGAGGTTCACTGGATTAAAGTATTACCTTAATGAAGAAACAGACTAATGGGTGAGACTATATGGAAAAAAAAAATTAATGAGGAAATTCAACTACCTCATGGTTCGTGGATTATACAGAATACACTAGTGCCCAGCTGGTGTAGTTCAGTGACCAAGCATCAACTTATGGACCAGGAGGTCACAGTTTGATTCCCGTTCAGGGCACATGCCCCGGTTGTGAGCTCGATCCTCAGTGTGGGGCATGCAGGAGGCAGCCGATCAATGATTCTCTTTCATCACTGATGTTTCTATATCTCTCTCCCCTCCCTTCCTCTCTGAAATCAATAATACTGCATTTCTAAAAAAATAACCAAAATAAACTAGTCATCAGAATTACCTTTCGGCACTTGACTTAGTTTTTCCCAATTTAAATAGGGATCCGAGCTGTTCATAAAAGATGCTCTTGTCTGAACACTTTGATATTTTTGTGTTTTGTTTGTTGAGGTGTCACCCCATCCACCTGCTGCTTAGACACGTTGTCTCTGCAGCACAGCTGCAAACCCCGTGAGCCAGCGTTCACTCCCCTGTGCCTCTTGTCCTGCAGACGTGGGTCCACGTGCTGGTCATCGTTGGGAGCATCCTGTCTTACTTCTTCTTCACCTTGGCGTTTGGAGCCATGTGTGTCACCTGCAACCCCCCCTCCAACCCGTACTGGATCATGCAGGAGCACCTGCTGGACCCCGTCTTCTACTTCGTCTGTGTCCTCACCGTCTGCGTGGCTCTTCTCCCCAGGTATGGTACTGGTTTTACCACCAAGAGCATGTGTGAAGTCAGAGCCCTAGATTCTCCATGCAGCTGCTAAGAATGCATGACAGACTATCCAGTTAGCAGTGAAGAAGTCAGTCTATCTTCTAGTTAAAATATTGTTTTATAATTATTTTACCGGAGAACAAAATGATATATGCAAAGGGAAGGTTTGTTTCTCGGGGGGAAACTCTAATCTGGTGGACAGTCCAGGACACAGGACAGGGCATCTTTGCCGGTTATCCGACGACTTAGTTCCTCTCCTCTATCTTTTTGTGCTGCCATCTTCCACTGCTCATAGACATTTAAAACCATACAACTTTTCTTCCTTATTTGACTTCAGGTATTCTTCCCATTCTAGGTTTAACTGATTTCTGTTATGGCGTGGGATGAAAATGGCTGAGAAGTATGCATGGGTTTTTAATCTATAGATTCTTTCAAGTCTGTGAGAGCTCTTCTTTACAGTTTTATAAAATCTGTCTAGCTGAAAGCACGATAGAAATAGTTGTTTTATATTTTTAAACATGATCTGAGAGTCAAAATGGTGATTTCATGTTATTCTCTAACAGGGATGACAAACTGTGATTCACAGATCAAATCTGGCCTGCTGCCTGGTTTTGTAAATAAAGTAATATTGGAACATGGCCATGCTCATTAATTACTGTCTGAGGCTGCCTTTGCTCTACAGCGGAGTTGAATAGTTGCAGCAAGGCTAAATGGCTTGCAACCTTACTACCTAGCCCATTGGAAGAAGTTTGCCAACCCTGATCTATAGCACCACCATCAAGCACCACGGCCCCAAACCTGTTTTGCTAATGGGCATCTCTTCTAGAAATGCACCAGGAAAACCCACCCGAGTCATTCTGTGGTGGTCTCAGTTGCCTACTTAACCATTTCTCTTAAACTGAAGTGCCTCTGTGGTGTTCTCTGGTATTCCCAGCCCTAAGATTGAAAATACTAACAAGATGAACTTGTAGAATTTATGAAGAAACAATTCCTTTAAAGTTGTAGCCTTCAAAAATCCCTTCAAGAGTACTACCATTAAAATTCTAATATTGTAGCCAAAACCGGTTTGGCTCAGTGGATAGAGCGTCGGCCTGTGGACTGAAAGGTCCCATGTTCGATTCCGGTCAAGGGTATGTACATTGGTTGCGGGCACATCCCCAGTGGGGGGTGTGCAAGAAGCAGCTGATCGATGGTTCTCTCTCATTGATGTTTCTAACTCTCTGTCCCTCTCTGTTCCTCTCTGTAAAAAAAAAAAAAAAATCAATAAAATATATTTAAAAAAAATAAAAGTAAATAAAAATTCTAATATTGCTGTGGTAGGCTGAAAAAAAATGGCCCCCCAAAAAGATATTCATGTTCTAATCCTTAGAACCTGTAAGTACTACCTTACGTAGCAAACATGGTCTTCGCAGATGCAATTATGTTAAGGGTGTTGAGTCAGAGAGAACATCCTGCATTACCCGGGTGGGCCCTAAATATAATAGCAAGTGTCCTTATAAGAGAGAGGCAGAAGGAGATCCGACCAGACAAAAGAGAAGGCACCGTGACCAGGGGGCCAGAGTTTCCTTCGCTATAAACCAAGGCACGCTGACAGCCCCTGGGAGCCAGAAGAAGCAAGGAGTGGGTTCTCAGAGAGAGCATGGGCCTTCTGAAACATTCCCTTTGGCCCAGCGAAAGTGTTTTCAGAGTCTCTGACCTTCAGAACTATGAGAGAATAAATTGTTATAAGGTGCTAACTTTGTGGTAACTTGTTACAGCAGCCACAGGAAACATGTAAGTTTTGCCACCGGGAAGATGGGTGCTGCTGTAACAGTTACTCAAAAATGTGCAAGTGGCTTTGACATTGGATGGTGGGCAGAGACCGGAAGAATTTTGAGGCATGTCAAAGGAAATAATGGACTTCCTAAACAAACGATAGGTAGAAATATGGACATCAATGCTTGCTGGTGAGGACTCAGAAGAAAGTGAGAAAGCGTAGAAAATACATATATTATCATCAACAGGACATTGCTAGAAATGTGAAAGTTAAAGGCACTGTGTAATACGGTAGCAGAAAATATAGCCGAAAGGCATTGCTGTTATGTGGAAAGCAGACTTTGTAAATTTTGAACTTGAATATTTAGCTGAGGAGATTTCAAAGCCAAGTGTTAAGGGTCTGGCCTGGTTTTTTCTTGTTGCTTATGATAAATTGTGAGAGAAAAGAGATGAAGGAAGAACTATTGAAGTAAAAAAAGAACTAGATTTAGGAAATCCTCAGCCTACTCAGATTTCAGAAGTTGCCAAAAGCAGGAGATTGATTGTTTGGAGGATGCTCTGGAGAGGCCCAGAGCATGGCTGGAGTACCTTTTGCTAGAGATTAGGAGTCTGACTTATGGATCCCTCTACCATCTCTGCAGCCTTCCAGAGAGGAGATGGGATGATGCAGGAAAGATCTGTGAAGACCCTCTTCTCTAATGGCACAAATTCCCGTGACATACATTGGTGACCCACAAGGTTTTTGAGAATTCTATAGGAGCATAAACACTGCCAGCTTCAGGACGAGTTTGTGGTAATTTGTTACCGTAGCTATAAGACACTCATAGCTAACATTTTGAACACTTGCTATGTGCCAACACTCTCCCTGCTTTACATGTACTTCCTTGTTTAACCTAACAGTACACCTATGATGCAGCACTAGTGGTATCTCTACTTATTATACACATTTTTGTTTATTTGTTTAATAAGCACTCATAAGGTACTCACTACTTCCTAAATGCTTTACAAATATTAATTTATTTAATATTATTCTATTTTATATTGTGCTTATCCTCCCCAGAACACCCTTTTACTAGCTCTGATTGGTGAGTATTTTTGTGTGTGTGTCCTGTGATGCATTTGAGGTGAAGGTAACTCGGTGATGCTTTTTGTAACCTAGGTTTATATACCGAGTTCTTCAGGGATCCCTGTTTCCGTCGCCACTCCTGAGGGCTAAGCACTTGGACAGACTGACTCCAGAGGAGAGGACTGAAGCGCTCAAGAAGTGGAGAGGGGCTGGGAAGATGGGTCAAGCAACGTCTACGTGTGCTGACCACTCAGCTGCCACGTCAGAGGGAGGAGCCATGAGTGGGCCTTCTGTCGCCTTTGCCATGATGTCAGCCACTTCCTGTGCTGTTGAGCAAGGAAATGAACATGAAACTGCCTTGGACTCAGACCATTGTGAAATGGAGACCTCATGGGTGGCTGGACCCTCAAACGGTTAAAAAGGCAGGATACCCTCTTTGGAGCTGCAGGTATTCCTTCGAGTTTGGAAGAGGATTTTGAAGAGGCACCTCTACCAAGCAACCATGACTCGGATTTTTCCTGTAGGGTCATGACTATGTTACTGGTTTGAAAAAGCCATCGTGTTGACCTCGATGGTATGTTCCTAGATGCATTCGTAAGAAAGGGTAGAGTTTGACCTAGACACAGGGTAAGGAATTAAAGTATTTAATTCAGAATCAAATGTTTCTTTTATGAAACATTTTGGATTTTCTGAGAGCGTTTTAAGTGTCATAGACATATAACTGTTTTCACTTATTTGAGATATATTTATTTTACTGTGAGACCTCAGATTCCAGAGAAATGCTTTCACTGAGCAGACTCCAATCTGATTTGATTTTTTTAAGAAAAAAAAAATGTAGTTTGATTGATTGGTTGGAATTCAGAGAGTTCCATATTTTTAAAAAAAAAGTTATAAATGGCTAATTTCCAGAGGAAAGAAAATAAGAGCCCTTTGAACAACAAATGTACCTAAAATAGAATGATAAAATATAGTTAGTTATTAATAGCTTTTTATTTCCTATGAGATGTTTTTGGTCTTCTGACTGAAGATGCTAAGCATACCTCTGTGTTCATTTCAGTGTTCTCATTGGGAAGGAGCAAGGGGGCGGCTAGGCCTCCATCATGTAGTGGGTTAATGTGTGCAGGTGTTAATTGGGGAACAAAAGCCATGGGTAAGACACAGCATCAGCTGAGCCTGTGGGCCATTTAGCACTCCCCTGTTGTATCCTAAAACTGACAATAGCCTGATCAAGGTAAGACAATCAATTTCAAAACAATCACCAAGAGACCATTTGAGGGTTCATAGTCCTTGCAACATTTTTGGGGTTGTAAACTCTAAACAATGAGCTAGGAATTGAGACTAGGACAGGTGGTTCTCAGAAGGATTCCACAAGGTTCTCAGAAAAATTTGTATTTTAATACATTTTAGGACAGAAATATCTATAGCAGGTTAACTGCTGTTGCAAATCATGTATGCTGTCTTTCGTTGGAACAAAAACGATTTTATACCAAATAATGCCGGTTATAAGATCATGTGTTCTTGTTGAGTTCTTTTAAAATTCTATTTTGGTCTGTCTGAAAATTGTCAGCCACCAATTACCCAGAATTCCCTTCATGAAATCTTGTTAATGTTTTGTTTCTATATCAAAGTTGTCTTAATGACTATTAAACTATTATTCTCAGGACTTTATCTTCTACTTGCTGCCTACTGTCCTGGTCTGATTTTTGTAGCCTTCTGATATTATTGTAAACTAGAGGACTAGTGCACGAAATTCGTGCATGGTTGGGGGAGGCGTTCCCTTAGCCCAGCCTGCCCCCTCTCCAATCCAGGACCCTCAGGGACTGTCCAACTGCTCGTTTAGGCCCGGTTTGGGTGTGGGGGGAGGGAGCAGTCAGACATTCCTCTCACAATCTGGCACCACTGGCTCCTAACTGCTCACCTTCCTGCCTGCCTGATCACCCCTAACTGTCCCCCCTGCTGGCCTGCCCCCCTTCCCCCCACCCCCCCAGCCAGCCTGGTTGCCCCATAGTGCATTCCCTGCCAGCGTGGTCGCCTCCAACTGCCCACCCTCCGCCCCTCTCCTCCCCCCCCCCCGCCCCCCATGGTCCTAGTTGCCCACACAGCTTGCTGTTCGGTCATTTGGTCTCCTCTCACTAACATTCCTGCCAAACTGGTTGCCCCACACAGACTGTTCAATTGTCTGTTCTGTTGTTCCAGATGCAACGGTTGCTTAGCCTTATATATATATAGGTAGTCTTTCATATAGACCAATTTCCAGAACTTTCAAAATCCCACATAGCTAATGGAAGTTGCTTTCTGCTTCCTTATAGATTTTTATTTTAAATAAACTGTTTAATAAATAATGTGATACAAAACTGTCATCATTCCTGTGGATACTCACTGAATCCAACTGTAATTGGTGCCAGAACTTAGAAGGAAAATCCCTAAGTACACCTTTTACCAGAATATTGTTTTGACTCTTTCTTATTTGGAAAAATCTATGATATTATATCACCTGTTATCCTCATAGTAGCTGGCATTCATTCCCTGAGATAAATCTTTGGATAAATAAATAATTGGAAATATTTTTACTAGTAAATGAAGTTTTAGAATCTAATGGTAAAAGAATGAGCAAAAAAAACTAAGAAAAGCTGTCAAATATTTGTACATAGGAGTAAATGAAACTCTTGATTGTTCATGTTATGGGGCCACAATTCCTTGATCCCAAAATCTCAAGAACACTAAAAACTGAATTTTTAAAAAATAAGTTAGTTACAAACTCGATGCCCAGAACAGAGGTGAAGCTGTCATGTACTTAATATAATTTTTATATATTTGCTACAGAAAATTATATTTTATTTCTGGGTGTTAAAGTGTATTTTTAAATTTTTGAAAAAGTCTGGGTTCTTAAATACATCTGTCTCCCAAGTGCAAAGGAACTGGGATCTGTTCTAAGCCTTTAAATGGTCCCATTTACAAGTAAAAAACTCTTACATGGGTTACCCAAGCTGATGTGAACAGTTGCATTTTGGTATCAAACCTATTGAACCAAATTTTGAGAAATTAATATAATTGTTCCTAGTAGCCAAAGAAAAGTGCCTAATACTGTAGTATATATTTGGGGATGCAATTTTACCCCAAAAGACTTATGAAAGAATTGGATCCATTTCCAAAAATGTAATCTAGACATTAAAAATCCTTATACTCTCAATTTTTGTTGGATGCTCAATGGGTAATTTGAGAGTATTAACAATCTCTAACTCCAGCCTAATCAAGGTGTTATCTATCATCTAAAGTAAAAGAGCGTGTTCTTGTGAAAATCTGAAATAAGACAGGTATTTTGATGGGTAAAAAAATTGGGGGCCAACTCTAGGACATTCTATCCATACACATAAAAAAAGAGATTATATCATTTTATTTGTATTAATGGTTATTTAAAATAAGTACAATATGTACATTTCACCAAACATCAGTTGAGCAAGGCTAAACGTCGTTACATTAAGTCTGTATCTACAACTATAACATAACAAAACTGACCCATTTTCTTCAACTTTCATACAGCTGTGACCCACACTCAACTGCTGGATTTCACACTCTCCATACGTTTATGCAAACTACAGAACAAGCGATGAATAACATGGAAAGTGTCAAGGCAACTTTTCGAATTTCAAATATGTGTGCACATACAAAAGAGTACAAAAATACATGTATAAAACTGCAGGTAGTTTCTATGTGGAATGCTGAGGCAGTCCGGGTTGCTGATGGAGCTCAGTAGGGGATCCTACTTGTTCCAAAGGCATTTGGATGTTGCAGAAATGGGTGCAGCTGTTGAATTGTGTTCAATTAGGTGCAGCTATTGAATTGTGCTCTGCAGCTTTTTAGTGTGGGAAAAATCACTTGACCACTCATCACTAAAGATATTGCTGTGGGTAAAGTGGCCCAGTGCTTAAAAGCATCTTTACATTTTTGCTTTAATTATCGATGGGAAGAATGAGCAACACCAGATATTAAACATCTTTCGGGGAAAATTATAAAACGATATGTAGAGCTTTCCTGTGCTTTGAGATACATTTCTGTACTTTATTGGTATGGATAAACTGGAAAATATTTCATTGGGGTAGGGTGCAATTTAATTTTTTTTTTTTTAAATTGCATCTCTGCAGTCGAAAGCAAGTTCTCCTTTGGCAAAGCAGAATCGCAGATTCCATTGTCACATGGAGGGAAGCAAATAAAAATATTACCCATGGGTATTTTCCTAGCTTTTGAAATCTCAGTCAGCCAACTGACAGACACTGAACGAACCCCAGCTATAGGGCAAGTTCTGTGGAGATGTTTCTACCACATCACAACCTTGGTTTAAATTCAGAATGCGCAACCCTACAATAAAATTCCCACAAAGCTTTTATTGTCAACCTGTGGAGGGACATGCTCCCCACTCCATAAATGGTACTTCCGAACGGACATTTTAAAGTCTGTGCTCACGGTGATGTCTGAGTGTCCTGTGCTCAGTGTGTCGCTGCTGCAGCGACCTACAGGGATGCTACTTGTCTTTCACCTCCGCCTTTCCTCAGTGCTCAACATTTTAAAGACTTTGGAAGAGTCCTAGTCAGTAACTGAAGCATGTAAGTTATCTTGGCTTTTAATAAATCAAAAGCAAGTCACCGAGGTTAATATGAAAGTTGCCACTACGCTATTATACATGAGAAACAAAAGCTGGCAAAGACTGGTCAGCCTGCAGCTCAGTGTGCTTTTTCGTGACTGGGGAAGAGGGGACTTTATAACTGTTGCCCTCGTGCAAGCATTACCCTCACTCTCCAGGGTCCGCAGTTTCACATTAGGGGTCAAGGTTAAGCTGACAAAACAATCAAATAAGCTTTGCTTCTTTAAAAAAAAAAAAAAAAAAAAAAAAAGACTTTCATCGAACTTGAGATAAGAAAAATAAAGCTGACTAACAAGCAGTGCAGCGCACTGCCCATGTGTCCAGGGAGTGCTCCTCTGTACAGCCGTCTGCGGGAAGTGCTCCACAGCCAAGACCCCGTTTTCTCTCAGTGCTGCTGGCAATGCCCTTGGTCGTCTTTGGAGTCAGTTCAGGAGGAAGGTGTGAATGTATATCTGTCTCTCAATCCATGGGGTGAAGTAGGACACGTTGCTATAAACTCCGGGCCCCTGCACTTTGGAGAAACAGATGGAGCCCCAGGAGGTGAGGCCAAACAATGTCCACCGTCCTCCAGGCTGCTCACAGACGAGGGGCCCGCCGCTGTCCCCCTGTAATGAGAAGCAGGGAGCATTAGTCACTGGTGTTTCAGAGCCCAAACGGTGTCCATGTCAACCTGAGGGTACGCCAAAGCCAAACCCAGCATAACCAAGCTTTTGGAAAATTCCCACAAAGCTTTTATTGTCAACCTGTGGAGGGACATGCTCCCCACTCCATAAATGGTG